TAAATATATGGATTGAATCATTTAATTACATTAACAATGATGACTGAATATTATTGAGTTTAAATGGGTGGGATCAATCGCGAAATGAAATCCCATTTTCTCTCCCTCTGACAGGAAATGGGAGGCAGCTGATCCATTCACTCTCTCCCAGCTGTGTCCTGAATTTGCTCTCTGTCACCATCTCTGCATTTCTCCTCCTCCCTCTTCTTCTCTCCCTCTCCTCCCCCTCTCTCCTCCTCCCCTCCCACTCTCTTTCTTCCTCTCATCCCCACTCTATCCTTTTCTCTCCCTCTCCTCCCCTTTATCTCCCCCTACCTACCTACCTCTCTTCTCTCCCTCCTCTCTCATTCCTGACCCTGAACTTCCTCATCTCTCTTTTGATTTATAGTTGTCTGCACGTCGCCCACGTCTTTCCCCTCCAGACCTCTCTCTATTTCTCTCTCTCGCCTAAATCATCCTCAACTATGGCCTACTATTTCCTCTCCCTCATCTATCTTTACCGTTTCCTCTCTAAATCATCTATAACTGTGGTCTCTCTCTCTCTCTCTAAGGGCTTTATTTGCATGGGAAACATATGTTTACATTGCCAAAGCAAGTGAAATAGATAATGATTCGTCATGAATCTTGTTCTGGAGGAAGCACTGCAGGGTGGTCACTAGCTGGCCATAAAGTCATCAAATCAGATGTTAAACCCAAACCACACTGCTAACCCTAATGCCTAACCTTAAATTAAGACCAAAAAGCACATTTTTGTTTTCATGAATTTTTCTAATTTTGACTTTGCAGCTGACATCCACATCCACAAACCCAAAACCACTTATTCCTACAGAACATTCCAAAGTCTTTCTAGTGGCTTAGCCATAACTGCAGATAACCATGCCACTCAACTCAATGAGCTAGCCCATGAGCTAATCTCCTACTAACAATTCAGGACTAGTAACAACAGTGTATTGTTCTCTGAGAGCAGAAGACAATGGCAGAAGCATTAGGTTGTGTAAGAGAATGCTCCCCCCTGTGTATAGGAAGAGCAACACAGAGGGCTCACATTGTCCTTGTTCCCTATTGGAAGATAAACTTCCTGGAACGACTTGTATCAATCTGCACACATCCGGACACTACACCGCCCGGCCCTCTAGACAACCACATACACTGTCACGACGAGGGAGAGAGAGTGGTGTGTGTGTGTGTGGTACCTTCCATTAGTGCAGTGATTTGCTGGGACTTCTGTGCGGGGTGTTCTCTGAGGATCTCCAGAGCTGTTCTTCCCTGGCAGTCTGTGATGTTGGCGTCAATACCTGCAACAGACAGACAGAAGACAAAAAGGGGGTTCGCCCGGCCCCCCACCCAAATCCCCGAACCACCGCCAAAAACCCCCACACAAAAAAATTTTTTTTGGGAACTTTTTTAAACACAAAAGGGGGTTTTTCCCCCTTTTGGGAAAAAAAAATAAAAAGTAAATACCCCTAATTTTTAAGAAAAAAAACCCAAAGTTTTGCCTTTTTTCTTTTTGGGGGAAAAAGGGCCCCCCGTTATTGCCCATTAATCCAAAAGGGTTTCAACAAAAAAAAAACCCAAAAAACCATTGGTTTTAGAAAAACTTTTGGGTTTTTGGGGGCGGCCCTTTTTAACAAAGGAGGTTATTGGGCCTTCCTTCCCCCCCCTAAAAACCCCCCACCAAAACAAAAAACCCCAACGGGTTGGGGGGGGGTTTTTGGGGGAAAAAGGGGCCCAGAAACCCCAAGGGGGCCCCCAATTAAAATAAAAACCCCCCGGGAAACCAAACCCCAAAGGCCGCCCGGGTTTTTCCCCCCCAAAAATGAGAGGCACGGGCGGGGGGGGGGGGGGTGTGGCGGGGCCCAAAACCCTTTCCCCGCTCCACACTACCTCGCGCCCTTCTCCCCATAAAATCACGGGCCTCCCCCCAATCATTCGCCCCGGCTCCCTTCTCCCGTCCTCTATAAACACCCCCCTTTTCCCCCTCTCGCTCCCATAACTACGGGTCTCTCTCCCCTCCAAAATCATTCTACCTTCTCTCTCCTTCCCCCTTACCGTCTCTCTCCCCATTTATAAATTAGGTCTCCTCCTCCTCTCCAATAATCAAACCTTCTCTTCTCTTCCTCCCTCTCTCTCTCTCCCTTTTCGTCTCTCTCTCTCTCTCCTCTTCTCTTCTCTCTCTCCTCTCTCTCCCCCTTTTCCTCTCTCTCTCTCTATATAAAATTTTAACCCCCTACTCTCCTTCTCCCTCTCCATGTCATCAAATTGCCCTCCCCTTCTTTTCTCCCTTTCCTTCATTTTACTCTCGGGCCTCCCCCACCCCTCTCTTTCCTATTTTAACCTACGGGTTCTCTCTCTTTTCCCCCCCCCCATATCATTATGCCCCTCTCCCCCTCTCTCCCATATCATCTCCTTTTTTTCCTTTTTTCTTTTTACTCTCCATATCATGTACTGTCTCTCTCTTTTCCCCCCTCCCCCCCTCCTTTATCTTTTTTTCCTTCCCTTCTCTCTCTCTCCAAAATCATCTTTCTCTTGTCTCTCTCCCCCCCTCTCTCTCTCTCCCTTCCCCCTTTTCCCCTTTTTAACCACCCCCTCTTTTTCTCTCTCCTTCCCCCTCCTCTCCTCTCTTTCTCTCCCCCTCCCCTCTCTCTCTCTTTTCTTTTCCCCTTTCCCCCTTTTTCTCCCCCTTCTTTTCCCCCTTTCTCTCTTCTCCCTATCTTTAAACTGTCTTCTCTTCCCTTTTCATCTACAGACTCTCCCCTTTCCCCCCCCTTAACCTTTTCCCCGGCCCCCCTCTCCTCTCTAAACCTCTCTTTCCTTTATTTTTTTCCTGTCTTTTCCCCATATCATCTACTGTCTCTCCCTCTCTCTTTTAATTCATTTTCCCCCTCTCTCTCTCCAAAATCATCTATTTCTCTCTCCCCTCCCATATATCAAACTACTCTCCTCTTATTATTTATTTTAAACGGTCCCCTCTCTCTCTTTCCTTCCCCATATATTACTGCCCTCTCTCCCCCTCCTCTCTCTCTCCCCCCATATCATTTTACCTCCTCCCCCTTTCCCTCTCATCCTGTCTTCTCTCCCCCCCCCAAATCACCCTACTGTTTTCCCCCTCTCCCGCCATTTTTTTCAATTTTTACTCTCTTCTCTTTCTCCCTAGCATCACTTTTGTCCTCTCTCCCCTCCATATAATTTTACCTCTCTCCCCCTCCCCCCATTAAACCTTTACTTCTCTCTACAATATAAACTACTGTCCTCTCTCTCTCTCCTATCATAAATTTGGTTCTCTCTCTCTCTCCCCAAATTTTTTATCCCCTTTTGTCTTCTCTCTTTTCCATATCATCTATTATCCCTCTCAAAACTCTCCCTTATAAACCTATTTGTCCCCTCCCCATATCATTACTGTCTCTCTCTCCCCTTCCATATCACCCTACGTTTTTCCCCCTTTACATCCCCTTTTATGTCTCCTCTCTTTTCCAATTATTTTATGTCTCCCCTCCTCCCAACACGGGGGGCCCCCTCCATAGCACACGGGCCCTCCCCCCAACACTACTTTCCCCCTCCTTCCCACCCCCCCAACTTTTTCCTCCCCCCCCCCCCAAACAAAACCCGCCCCCCTCAGACTCCCCCGGGGGCGCCCCGCTGGGGCCCGGGCGGGGGGCCCCGCCCAACCAAACTGCCCTTTTTCCCCCCTCCCTGCCGCGGGGGGCCCCCCTTTTGGGCCGGCCGCCCCCCCCCCCCGCCCCCTCCCCCTTCCCCCCTCCTCCCCCTCCTCCCTTCCCCCCTCCGCTCCCCCGCCATACGGCCTTTTGCCCGCCCCCAACACCAACCCCCTCGCCCCCCCAGACACCCTCGCCCTCACTCCCCCCAAAACTACGTCTTCCTCTCTCTCCTTTCCACACGGGCCTCTCCTCTCTCTCCATACATCATTTTTCTCCCCCTCTCTCTCCATACACTACTTTCTTTTTTCTCTCTCCCTATATCACTATCTCCCTTTTAAAATATATTCTACTTTCTTTTCTCCTCTCTTCCCCAATCCCCTTGCCCTCTCTACCCCTCTCTCCCCCATATCACTACTTTTCCTCCCCCATATCATCTATTTCTCCTTTTCTCTCTCCATTAAATAAAAACTGTCTCTCCCCCGCCAAAATTCATCTACTCTTTCTCCTCTCCCCAAAAGCATCTACTGTCTCTCCTCTCTCCATAAAAATCTACTCTCTTCCCCCAATAAACCCTCCCTGTTTCTCTTCATTATTTTAACTGCCTCCCCTCTCTCTCCATATCATCAACTGCCCTCTCTCCCCTCTCCCATATAAATCTACTTTTCTTTTTCTCTCCTCCCCCTTTCCATCTATTATCTCTCTCTATCCTCTCCATATCCCCTCCTGTCTCTCTCCATATATCTCCTGTTTTCCCCTTTTCTCCCCCTTTCATCTTCCGGGGTTTTTCTCCCCCTTTACTATCATCTACTGTCTCCCCTCTCTCTCCTACCCTCCCCCGTCTCTCTCTCTTCCCCCCAAAATCTCTACTCCCCCTCTTTTTCCATATCTCACTGTCCCCCTCTCCCCTTTATCATTTTCCTTGGTCTCCTCCAATCTACAACCCCTCCCCCTTCTCCCCCATACTTTCTACTCCCCTTCTCTCCTTTTCTTCTTTTTCCATATTTTCAAACTGTCTCTCTCTCCCCAATCATCTACTTTCTTTTCCTCTCTCTCTCTTCTCCAAAATCACTATTTTCTCCCTCTCCTCCAATCATTTTACTTTCTCTCCCCTCTCCATATCGGGACAACTTTTCCCCTCTCCCTCCAATCATCTACTTTTCTCTCTCACCCCTCTCTTTTCCACATCATCCTTACTGTTCTCCCCGCCATTCATCTACTCTCTTCTCTCCTAGCATCTTTTGTCTCCTCTCTCTCCCATATAACTCATTTTCCTCTCTCCATATTCCAAACGGTCCTTTTCTCCCCCATATCATAAAACTGTCTTCTCTTTTCTCCATATCACTATTTGTCTCTCCTCTCTCCCCCCTTTCTTATTATCCTCTCCTCTCTCTCTCTCTCCCTCTCTCTCTCCATATATCTATGCCCTCTCTCTCGAAATACCCTCAAAACTATCCTCTCCTCTTTTATCTCCCCAAATTCATATACTGCCCTCTCTCTAAATCAAATTTTTTTTTTATTCTTTTCGCGTACAGGGGCCCCATCCTCCTCCCCCTCAATGGGTTGGCGGCCCTTTCCTGCCCCCTTTGAAAAAAAAGGGCCCCCAAAGAAGATGTTTTCCACCTCCATGCTTCACGGTTGGGATGGTGTTCTTGGGGTTGTACTCATCCTTTTCTTCCTCCAAACACAGCGAGTGGAGTTTAGACCAAAAGCTATATTTTTGTCTCATCAGACCACATGACCTTCTCCCATTCTCCTCTGGATCATCCAGCTTGGTCATTGGCAAAACTTCAGACGGGCCTGGACATGCGCTGGCTTGAGCAGGGGGACCTTGCGTGCGCTGCAGGATTTTAATCCATGACGGCGTAGTGTGTTTACTAATGGTTTTCTTTGAGACTGTGGTCCCAGCTCTCTTCAGGTCATTGACCAGGTCCTGCCGTTGTAGTTCTGGGCTGATCCCTCACCTTCCTCATGATCATTGATGCCCCACGAGGTGAGATCTTGCATGGAGCCCAGAACGAGGGTGATGGACCCGTCATCTTGAACTTCTTCCATTTCGAATAATCGCCGCCAACAGTTGTTGGCTTCTCACCAAGTGCTTGCCTATTGTCCTGTAGCCCATCCCAGCCTTTTGCAGGTCTACAATTTTATCCCTGATGTTTGGTGCATGCTGGGAATTGTTTGAGTGAGTGCTAAGTGCGAGTGTTGTGTAGCGTTAGATATCCTGGGTTTTCTTTCGGTTTTCCTTTTCTTGGTGATATCCTTTTTTCTTCTAGCATGATTAAGGTATTATTTCTATTTTCTGTTGTGGTAGAATAAAGTATATTGTTTTCTTGTCGAAATTATCCTGATTTTGGTGGGGATGGCGGCCGAATGGGGACGCCGTCCCTCTCACTTCGGCACGGCTTTAGGTGTGTTACGAAGCTACTGTCACGGTGGAGGAGTTTTCTGGTCGCCGTAGGGATAGGAGAAGGTAGGATCTGAGAATGTTGATGCGTCACGGATGCATAAAAGCGGGTTGGTGGTATTTCTTAAAGAAGAGCGCCTTGTTGATCGTATTGGTTGAGCATTGGCGTACTTCTTAAATGAATGTTTATTCAAGTACGCCGCTTTTTTCTCCGTCAACAAGGGTTAAACGATTTCAAATGTAACCGCCGTTTATCCAAATGAGCTATTGGAGCGCGAGTTATTGCGCTTTGGGAAGCTTGCAAGTTCAATTAGGTTGTCCCGTTGGGTTGCAACACCCGGCGTTGAAACAGGTTATGTCGTTTCGGCGCAGGTGTTTATGTTTTTGGACTCACCGGAGCAGACTTTGGAGTTATCGGTTTGACTGATAAAGGTATGACAATAGACGTTATATGGCTTATGTAGTATGGGTAGTCAACTGTGTTTGAGTGTGGGGATGTTGGTCATAAGCGATATGCTTGCCCGAAAAGGGAGAAGGCAGAGGGAGGGGGCGCAGGTGGTCCTCGTAACGCCTGGGGCCCACTGATGTAGGGAAGAGGTGGGCTGACAGGGGGGTAGAGCGTAGAGCAGCCACAAGCATCTGTTGCTGAGGAACAAGTTGTCCGTGTTGAGGGCACAGAGATGCAACTTGTACCAGAGGGAAATGTTATGCAGCAGAAAAATATTGTTGTAGAAGGTAAGGATGGATCTGAAGAGCCATTTCCTCAGAGTGGTGAGGAGGTGCCCACTATGAGTGCTGGGGTACAGGAGGGGGTTCATGTGGAGCTAGGCTCCCAGGCAGTGGAGGAGATGCCCACTACGAGTAATAGGGTACAGGAGGGGGTTCATGTGGAGCTAGGCTCCCAGGTAGTGGAGGAGATGCCCACTACGAGTAATGGGGTTCAGGTGGGGCTAGTCTCCCAGGTAGTGGAGGAGATGCCTGGTACGAGTGATGGGGTGCAAGTGGGGAGTGTTGAAAGGGATGTGGTAGAGGGGAGTCAGTGGTCTGTGGCCTCAGTTGAGGAGGATCAGGAGAAGGTATGGATATCTCTCTTGATACGATATCAGCTGGTGAGGACTCTATTTATGATCTAGAGAAGGTAAATGGGTTTCTGGATCAGACTTTTGGGAAATCTGTCAAATTGGCAGATTATGTTGATGTTGATAAATTTGTGAGGTCAGCTGTGATGTTACAGAAGACAGTGGGGTTAGACCAGTTGAGTGAGAAGAAGCGGTTTTGCTTGAGGAAATGTGTTACTGCTGTTGCAGCAGCAAAAGGTGGTGGGAAACGTGGTCAGGTTAAGAGAACATTTAAATAATGCTGATGATTATGCCTCATAGGGTGTTTTATTCTCTTTGTCTGGTTTCTCTGTGGTATCTTCTGCTTTTCCTTTTTCTTTTCTATATGGAGATACTAAGGGTAGGTTCTCTCAATATTAATGGAGGAAGGGACAGGAATAAGAGGGCTTGGGTATTAGAAGTAATAAAACAGAAAAGGCTTAATGTTAATTAATTAATTAATGTAGTTTTCCTACAGGAGACACATAGTGATGAGGAAAATGAGGTTGACTGGGGTATGTGGTGGGAGGGGCAGCATATACTCAGTCATGGTACTAATTTCAGTGCTGGGGTGGCATTCTTGTTTTCTTCAAGCTTAGGGGTGACTGTGGTATCTACAACAGAGATTGTCAAGGGTCGGGTTTTATTGGTCAAGGTGGATGATATGAGGTTTTTGTTAGTTTTTTTTTGAATGTTTATGCTCCTAATGAGGGTACAGAGCGTATTGTTGGTTTTGATAAAATAAAGGAAACCTTAAGACAGTGTGACCAAGAGGGGTGTATGGTTTTAGGAGGGGAATGGAACTGTACAGTGGATTTTACTGTTGATCGCACCGCTGAAGAACCTCACCTGCGGTCAGCCACTTGCCTGTCTGGTCTGTTAACTGAGTTTGAGCTTTCTGATGTGTGGAGAGTAAGGAATGCAAAAGTTAGGCAGTACACATGGCTAAAAGTTAATGAAGGTCATGTCAGTGCAGCAAGGTTAGACAGGTTGTATGTATCTGAGCAATACTGTAGTAGGGTTGGAAGGTGTGACATTACTCCTGTGGGTTTCTCTGATCACCATATTGTCACTGTTGATATTCACTTGTCCTGTCCACGAAGGTCATCATCTTATTGGTATTTTAATGTTAAATAGTTACATGATGTCATGTTTTGTGAAAGGTTTTTGTTGTTTTGGGAAAAATGGAGGGTTACAAAAGGGAATTTTGAGTCCTTTAGACAATGGTGAGAGGTTGGGAAGGCCCAAATACAATTATTTTGTCAACAGTATACTGCTCTGTCTCGAATTGAAGTTAAAGAGACTATCAGGGCCCTTGAACAGGACATCAAATCTATTGAATTGAAGTTGCTCACTCAGAATGACCCCGGACTAGTCATGAATTTACAGGACAAGAAACATGAACTGAGGTTGTTTCTGCATGAAAGAGTGAAGGGTGCCTTGATTAGGTCTCGTTTCGCTTCCCTCAAGGATATGGATGCACCTAGTGCTTTTTTTTTTACCTAGGACAGTCGACATTGCAACGTAAACAGATGGTCTGCCTTCGTCTCCCTGATGGGAAGGTGACCACGGATGACAGTGAAATGCGTCAACATGCCGTGGATTTCTACTCTGCCCTCTATAAGGCGGAGGATTGTGACTCTCTGTGTACTGAACAGTTGTTACATGGTCTTCCTCAATTGGGACCTGAGCAAAGAGTCGTATTGGACTCTGACATTACACTGCAAGAGCTGTCCACAGCAGTTATGCAGCTCTCAACAGGCCGAGCCCCTGGCATTGATGGTTTACCATCTGAGTTTTATAAGCATTTTTGGGGGTCTATTGGGGAGGATTTTTATGAAGTGGTGTGTGAATCTTTTCATGAGGGCTCTCTTCCTGTATCTTGTCAACGTGCGGTACTTTCACTGTTGCCAAAAAAGGGGGATTTGGCTCTCATAAAAAATTGGAGACCTGTTGCGTTGCTGTGTGCAGAATCTAAAATTGTTTCTAAATGTCTCTCAAACAGGTTGAAATAGTATCTTGGATTGTTGGTCCACAAGGACCAGTCCTACTGTGTACCTGATTGCTCTATTGTTGACAACTTGTTTCTAATAAGAGATGTTTTAGACATTTGTAAACTGTCTGATGTAAATGTGGGTTTACTTTCTTTGGATCAGGAGAAGGCTTTTGATCGTGTGGACCATCAGTACTTGTTTAAAACAATGAAAGCCTTTGGGTTTGGGGATGTTTTTTTGTCTTGGATGAATTTACTGTATGCTGGGGCCTCGTGTATGGTGAAGGTGGGGGGTGGTTTGAGTTGCCCCATCCCTGTCCAAAGGGGCATCAGGCAGGGATGCCCAATTTCAGGGCAGTTATATAGTCTGGCGATTGAACCAATGCTTTGTTTTTTAAGAGCGAAGCTTAACATCCTCACCCCCTGTAATAAAAACTGTCACGTCGTCTGCATACGCAGACAGTGCTATCGTGGGACCCTTCATTACACCTGGCACAGAGAAACCAGTAAGGTTCTCTCAAACGCTTTAAAGGTGTATGAGGGGGCCTCCTCAGCTAGAGTCAATTGGGGAAAGAGTGAAGCGCTGTGGGAAGGTCAGCTTCAGATGGGGTCCACTCCACGGTTACCAGGGGGGCTTCAGTGGGGCAGAGATGGGATGAAGACTTTGGGGGGTTTTCTAGGCTCCGATGTCTTTCAGAAAAAGAACTGGGAGGGTGTAGTGGAGAAAGTGTGTGCCAGACTGTCAAGATGGAAATGGGTGCTGCCCCAGCTGTCTTATAGGGGAAGGGTACAGGTAGCTAATAATCTTGCTGCCTCTACCCTGTGGCACAGACTAATGATTTTGCAGCCACCAAAGGGTCTGATACAAGAGCTTCAGAGGACCCTTGTCAATTTCTTCTGGTCTGGACAACACTGGATTAAAGCTGCAGCCCTGTACCTGCCACTGCACGAGGGTGGGCAAGGCCTGCTGGACATTTCCTCTAGGATCATGGCTTTCCGGCTTCAAGCAGCCCAGAGACTGTTGTACAGTGACAGTTCTAGCTGGGTTGACACAGCCTACACATTGATGAGGAGAGCGGGCTGTTTGGGCTTAGACAAGCACCTTTTCCTCTTAAAGCTGGAGGGGGGTGTGTTGCCTGGCCTCACTCCACCAGGGATGTGGCTTTTTGAAGAGCCTCTTTTTCACAACACTGCCATCCAGTCCCGTGTTCTGGGTTCAGCTAGCCTACGTTCATGCCTGTTAGGCGTGGGGTGTACTAAGCTGGGTCATCTGATGCGGAACAGGAATAGGTCGTTGGAGGAGCTGGGAGAAAGAGGGGGGATCCGATCGTCTCGCCTACTGAGGAAGGTCGTCGCTGAGGTCTGTGACTCCTTGCCAGTACTTCATCTGCAGTATGTGACTGACACTTCCAATTCTGATCGGTGGAAGGGATGTCTGGATTATGTGTTCCCTGCACTGATTGTTAGTGCTGCGGCGGGGGCATTCGAGGAGGACGTGGGGATGCTGCTTTCCTTCGATACCCCGGAGCTGGGGGAGTTCAAGGAGGTGGGAAAGAAGGCCATGTACAGAATATGTGTAAAGGTGTCCCATGCCTCTTCCCTGGAAGGGGTAAAATCGACGAGGTGGGCGGGTGTGCTTGGTCCAGGTGCCTCCCCAAAAGGCTGTTGGCGATCATTATACAAACTGCCTATTGATAAGAGGACAGCTGACCTCCAATGGAGGATAATACATGGAGCCATAGCCACCAACATGTATCTGGTACACCTGGATCCTACTGTTGGGGAGGGGTGTCCATTCTGCGCTGAGTCTGAAACTCTGGCACATCTATTTTTACAGTGTCCCAGGTTGGTCGGGATGACTGACCTGATCACTAATTGGTTCTCAACGTTGGGAGAGGTTTTCTCTTCCCAACTGTATATATTTGGGCCAAAGTACAGGTTTAGTCAAAAAGGTGTAGTTGTGTTGCTTAATTTTGTGTTAGGGGCAGCAAAATTAGCGATATGGAAGACCCGAAAGAACAGTATTCGGGGACAGGGGTCTGTGGATGTGGTGGGAATGCTGGAGGGAATGTTGGCAGCGAGACTAAGGGTTGAGTTTGCCTATTATAAACTTGTCAACAATATTGATCTGTTTATGAGTATATATATATACATATATATCTCTCTCTCTCTCTCCATATCATCTACTGTCTCTCTCTCTCCATATTATCTACTATCTCTCTCTCTCTCCATATCATCTACTATATCTCTCTCTCTATCTCTCCATATCATCTACTGTCTCTCTCTACATATCATCTACTGTCCCCCTCCCTCTCTCTCTACACATTTAATCTACTGTCCCCCTCTCTCTCTATATATATATATACAGTGGGGAGAACAAGTATTTGATACACTGCCGATTTTGCAGGTTTTCCTACTTACAAAGCATGTAGAGGTCTGTAATTTTTATCATAGGTACACTTCAACTGTGTCAGAAAATCACATTGTATGATTTTTAAGTAATTAATTTGCATTTTATTGCATGACATAAGTATTTGATCACCTACCAACCAGTAAGAATTCCGGCTCTCACAGACCTGTTAGTTTTTCTTTAAGAAGCCCTCCTGTTCTCCACTCATTACCTGTATTAACTGCACCTGTTTGAACTCGTTACCTGTATAAAAGACACCTGTCCACACACTCAATCAAACAGACTCCAACCTCTCCACAATGGCCAAGACGAGAGCTGTGTAAGGACATCAGGGATAAAATTGTAGACCTGCACAAGGCTGGGATGGGCTACAGGACAATAGGCAAGCAGCTTGGTGAGAAGGCAACAACTGTTGGCGCAATTATTAGAAAATGGAAGAAGTTCAAGATGACGGTCAATCACCCTCGGTCTGGGGCTCTATGCAAGATCTCACCTCATGGGGCATCAATGATCATGAGGAAGGTGAGGGATCAGCCCAGAACTACACGGCAGGACCTGGTCAATGACTTGAAGAGAGCTGGGACCACAGTCTCAAAGAAAACCATTAGTAACACACTACGCCGTCATGGATTAAAATCCTGCAGCGCACGCAAGGTCCCCCTGCTCAAGCCAGCGCATGTCCAGGCCCGTCTGAAGTTTGCCAATGACCATCTTGATGATCCAGAGGAGGAATGGGAGAAGGTCATGTGGTCTGATGAGACAAAAATAGAGCTTTTTGGTCTAAACTCCACTCGCCGTGTTTGGAGGAAGAAGAAGGATGAGTACAACCCCAAGAACACCATCCCAACCATGAAGCATGGAGGTGGAAACATCATTCTTTGGGGATGCTTTTCTGCAAAGGGGACAGGACGACTGCACCGTATTGAGGGGAGGATGGATGGGGCCATGTATCGCGAGATCTTGGCCAACAACCTCCTTCCCTCAGTAAGAGCATTGAAGATGGGTCGTGGATGGGTCTTCCAGCATGACAACGACCCGAAACACACAGCCAGGGCAACTAAGGAGTGGCTCCGTAAGAAGCATCTCAAGGTCCTGGAGTGGCCTAGCCAGTCTCCAGACCTGAACCCAATAGAAAATCTTTGGAGGGAGCTGAAAGTCCGTATTGCCCAGCGATAGCCCCGAAACCTGAAGGATCTGGAGAAGGTCTGTATGGAGGTGTGGGCCAAAATCCCTGCTGCAGTGTGTGCAAACCTGGTCAAGACCTACAGGAAACGTATGATCTCTGTAATTGCAAACAAAGGTTTCTGTACCAAATATTAAGTTCTGCTTTTCTAATGTATCAAATACTTATGTCATGCAATAAAATGCAAATTATTTACTTAAAAATCATACAATGTGATTTTCTGGATTTTTGTTTTAGATTCCGTCTCTCACAGTTGAAGTGTACCTATGATAAAAATTACAGACCTCTACATGCTTTGTAAGTAGGAAAACCTGCAAAATCGGCAGTGTATCAAATACTTGTTCTCCCCACTGTGTGTATATATATATATATATATACACACACATCTCTCTCTCTCTCTATATATATATATATATATATATATATATATATATATATGCACACACACACACAGAGGGGCATGACAGCACAGCTATGAAACATGATTATATTGCTTCTATACATAGCATGTGTACATTATATACCCTGCTTCTGGGGTGAAGTTTACCTACGTACAGATTTAGGATCAGCTTTCCCTCCATGAATCCTAGCCTTAACCACTAGTGGGGGAAATGAAAAACGGACCCAGGATGAGCATCTAACTCGTAGCCCAGTGTTTCTCAAGTTTCTGACTGACCTCTGGGGGGGGCGCACATTTTTGTTCCAGCCCAGCACCTAACACACCTTATTCAACTAATCCCGGAGCCCTTGAGCTAACACTGTGTTAGCCAACCCAGAATAGCATCAATACAGTGGATTACTAAATATGGCAGGACGGATCTCTAGTGCTGCTGATATCTCCAGAACAGAACATGTACATACTGTTAGATAGATTAGCAGCAGTATTGGGGTAAATACATGGGGCAGGTTTGCACACAGGCACGTACACATAAGAACAGGAACAAGGACAGAGGTATGGGGGGGTACATGGACTCCCTCATGACACCCACCTGAGTCTAGCAGCAGCCGAACCACATCCATCTTCCCATAGAGAGCTGCCTCGTGGAGAGCACTGCCATTCTCCGTCTGAGAGAGAGAAAGAGAGAGAGGTGGGGGGGGGTAAGAGAGAAAGAGGAGGAGACCAAATAATCGAAGGCAAGAGAGGGGAGAGTGATGCGGGAGAGAGAAGAAAGAGAGAAGAAGATAGAAAGAAAACATTGATTTCAAGACATTGCACAAGATAACTCTTTGTACACAGAGCCCCATGTGGAAACGTCCCATTACAAATACAAACCCCAGTTTCCTCCCGCTCCATATGGCCTGGATGCTAGTGCGCATTAGCCCCTGTAGAATACATTGCTTTGCATAGAAACTGTGGGAGAGGACGTCAACTTGTGGGATTTTCATAGCCATCAAATATTTAGTGTACAGTAACTGTGATTACTTAGACAAGCATTTTAAAAACACACAGAGACACAAAGACACACACACACACTCCCTGTGTGTTACAGTACCTCTGACCTTAGCTGGATCTCTCAGACTAACACCCAGCCAGGCTCCTGCCTTGTGACTAAACTCAACAAGCCTGCTGTGTGTGTGTGTGTGTGTGTGTGTGTGTGTGTGTGTGTGTGTGTGTACTATACCTTCTCTTTCCTCTATCACCAAGGTATTATCAACGCAGCTAAGAAAGACTCCAAAAATCCAACACATCGACCAATCAAAACCCAGAACTGCACCTCCTGTGTTCCCACACACACAATCCAGGTGAGTCTGACTGACCCTTACGGTTCAAAGGTCAAAGATGCCAATGAAAGGGCATGTGAACATCCAATACCACAGAACCCAGAAGACCAGGTCAAAAACGTAAAAAGATCCAAATCGAGAACAGGCAAAAAGTTTCACAACCCACGGTGACATGGAACTAGAGGTGACTGGGCGATGAGTTTGGAGGGAACACACACACATACATCGAGGGACAGGAAACCAAACCGCCGGACCCTCCCCCACTCCCCCCTCAAACCCTTTCCTGTGTCATTTCCCATGGCGATTAGTTGGTGATGTCACCGGAAAATGAGGAAATCGATTCACTCTCGCTGCGCTTTCAGGAATTGAGGTGGCTGTTTGACTGAAGACTGAGGGGGGGGTTTGTTTTGGTGTTGGGCCTTTCTTTCTTTGGTGTTGGGCCTTTCTTTATAGTTTTTCAACCTATTTTCTCCCATTGCTAGTTACGACCCTGTCTCATCGCTGCAAATCCGAAAACATGACCCACCTAGCCGCGCTACTTCTTAACACACTGCTCGCTTAACCTGGAAGTCAGCCACACCATTGTGTCGGAGGAAACACTGTTCGACTGATGACCAAAGTCAGCTTGCAGTAGTGCTGAGCGATTAGTGCTTTTTGAAGTCGGTTCGGTTTGATTATTCAAAAATAATCACAGTTTTCGGATTATTATTTTCTTTACATTAAATGTAATATGAAATTACAATGATTTTAGAGCTTTTTTATGGAAATTCCAAAGCCAAAAAGTGAACATTCAATTGCCAAAACATTGAAAATATTCCATTGTCTCTATCCAGAGACCTGTATACAATGACGCGACGCACGTCTCCGCCCTAACAATGGGTGTCGTAGTCCCAAAGGCGGGAAGGTAGGCGACAAGTTTAGGTCCAAAATAAGCCCATAGAAACACATTAGGCATATTTTGGACAGATTTTGGCGAGAGTGAAACCTCTCGCTTCGCTTGTTCCTCTCTGATCTGGAAAAAACTGCCGAAATGGATTATGGTCAGTGTAGTTAATTACCACGTTTCTGCACTGATCTAGATTGAATATTTGCTTAATGAAAACCACAACTCCCTTCAGCCCAGCGTCCCACATAGTTCTTGACTTGATTTCTTAGATTTCTCTCGTGAATGATTTGATTTCTCTTTAGAGAAATGGCATGTTGGGCTCACAAAAAACCTGAACTAAATGGAATTCAAGTAATTGAACCGACGTCGGTCAATTAGTTGTTTAATAACCAGAAAAAATAAGAAATGTCGATTAATCGCTCAGAACTAGCATGCAGGCGCCTGGCCTGCCACAAGGAGTCACTAGATCAGGATGAGCCAAGGAAAGCCCCCCGGCCAAACCCTCCCCTAACCTTGACGGTGCTGGGCCAATTGTACACCGCCCTATTGGGCTCCCGGTAATGGCCGGCTGTGACACAGCCTGTGATTGAACCCCAGGCTGTAGTGGTGCCTCAGCACTGTGATGCAGTGCCTTAGACCGCTGTGCCACTCGGGGCCTTTCAATACAGTTTGACTCTCAGTTAGTTTCAGATTCACTTCACATACTTTACAGCTTGAAGAAGTATAAAGGTGTGTGTTTGTGTGTCGGGGGGGGGGGGGTTGTTTTATATCCATGGGCTCAACTTTTGCCCTTGGTTCTCTACCTGCCTACAGAGCAGCAGGTCTCTCCATAGGGAATCCCCTCATCAGTAGAGAGATGGAGAGAGAGAATGAGAGATAAAGGAGAGAGAAAGAGAGAGAGAGAGAGAGAGAGAGAGAGAGAGAGAGAGAGAGAGAGAGAGAGAGAGAGAGAGAGAGAGAGATATCCTTATACATTATTCATTCGAACGATGGGCTTGAATGTAATTATTTTACTAGGCACTGACACACACACACACACTGCTATTTACAACAACCCCACCATCTGTGGGACGTGTACGTTCCTTCCACTCCTTAATGTCAAAGCACAGATCTGACAAATATGACAGTGTAGCTTTGGAGAGAGAGAGAGAGAGAGATGGAGAGAGAGATGGAGAAAGGGAGAGAGAGAGAAAGGGAGAGGAGGAGAGAGAAGAGAGAGGAGGAGAGAGAGATGGAGAGAGAGAGAGATAGGAGGGGAGAAGAGAGAGAGAGAAGGAGAGGGGAGGAGGGAGTAAGAGAGAGAGGGGAGGGGAGGAGGCAGAGAGCGAGAGGGGAGGAGAGAGAGAGAGAGGGGAGGGGAGGGGAGGAGAGAGAGAAGGGGAGGAGGCAGAGAGAGAGAGAGAGAGAGAGAAGGGGAGGAGGCAGAGAGAGAGAGAGAGGAGAGAGAGAGAGAGGGAGGGGAGTAGAGAGAGGGTGTGTGAACTCAGGAACACCCCTTACTACTCTCTTTTCTCTCTCTCTCTGTTCCCCTTCAAATATTCACTTATTTCAATCACCACATCATTCTACACCTCACACACACACACACACGTGTTCTGTATCTGAAGCAATCACACACACACAGTGCAATACTGTATGTATGACCATTGAGTGCTGAAGACAACACACACATCTCAAACTCATTCTTGACCTACTCCGACCGCCCCTCACACACACACACACACACACTGTGTGTTGCTGTTGCTATGCGTTGCTGTGTGTTGCTTAGTTCTGCTAATATTGCCGCAATACCATTCAGAAAGAGGTTGAGTAGAAGGAAGATTATCCTTAGATACTGTACTAACTCATTAAAAACACAGGAGACAGGCTTTAAACATTTATTACAAGGAGAGAGGAGGGAGCGGTATCTTGAGCTAAAGAGACGGTCAGATTTACTGGCACTAAGCTCTCGTCTTGGAGCAACATCTGCAGGAGGGAAGAGAAATGTAACAAACAAAGCTGAAGCCTGATTTAACCAGGACTACCTCTGAGTATAGATATTGTCCCCGTATGATGCATCATATGATGCAAAATGAATCATACAAGGATGATTTCTGTATTTTGAAAGTTACATATCTTGAAAGCTTGATTGCTGACAAGCAAAACATTTTCGGACTATGTCAACAATGGAGTAATGAAACAAATACCAAAAGATGGGGTGGAGTTTTCCTTCAATGTTGAGTTGACCTTTAGCTCTCCTCTCTTCACATCCCTCTACAGAAGAACATGTTGCATTGAAGTATAAACGCAGAGTGACCCTCCAATCTAACAACACACCTGCAGAATAAAAGCTAACCTACGACCTCATTCCTCACCCCCCTCCTAACCCATCCACCTACCCCCTCAACACCGACTCCACAGTGACCCTGACCCCTAGACCGCTGACCTGGGAGTTGACGTCCATGCCGGCCTCCAGCAAGGTGTGCACGGCTGAGTGGTGCCCGTTGCGGGCGGCCAGGTGCAGGGGCGTGTGGCGCCTTGTCCCGTGGCTGCTCATCAGGTTGGGGTGGGCGGTCACCAACATACAGACCACCTGGGAAGAGGGGGAGGGGAGGGGAGGAGAGAGAGGGTGGAGGGGAGGAGAGGGAGGTTCAAGCCCAGAGGACATGAGTTCCAAGATCTAAATGTGTAGTTATTTGAGTCCCATGTCGGCTACAGTCCCATGTCGGCTACTACAGTATTACATACAACAAGACCCTCAGGACCACAAGCCGCGTCACTCCATGGTATGTGGACACCTGCTTGTCGAAAATCTCATTCCAAAATCATGGGCATTAATATGGAGGTTTTCCACTAGATGTTGGAACATTGCTGCGGGGACTTGCTTCCATTCAGCCACAAGAGCATTAGTGAGGTTAGACTCTGATATTGGGCGATTAGGCCTGGCTCGCAGTTGGCATTCCAATTCATCCCAAAGGTCTTCGATGTGGTTGGAGTCAGGGCTCTGTGCAGGCCAGTCAAGTTCTTCCACACCGATCTCGACAAACCATTTCTGTATGGACCTCACTTTGTGCACGGGGGCATTGTCATACTGAAACAGGAAAGGGCCTTCCCCAAACTGTTGCCACAAAGTTGGAAACAGAATCGTCTAGAATGTCATTGTATGCTGTAGTATTTAGATTCCACTTCACTGGAACTAAGGGGCCTAGCCCGAACCATGAAAAACAGCCACAGACCATTATTCCTCCTCCACCAAACTTTATAGTTGGCACTATGCATTGGGGCAGGTAGTGTTCTCCTGGCATCCGCCAAACCCAGATTCATCTGTCGGACTGTCAGATGGTGAAGCGTGATTCATCACTCCAGAGAAGGCATTTCCACTGCTCCAGAGTCCAATGCCGGCGAGCTTTACACCACTCCAGGCGACGCTTGGCATTGCACATGGTGATCTTAGGCTTGTGTGCGGCTGCTTGGCCATGGAAACCCATTTCGTGAAGCTCCCGACGAACAGTTATTGTGCTGACGTTGTTTTCAAAGGTATTTTGTGTAGTGAGTGTTGCAACCAAGAACATACTATTTTTACGCGCTACATGCTTCAGCACTCAGCAGTCCCGTTCTGTGAGCTTGTGTGGCCTACAACTTAACGGCTGAGCCGTTGTTGCTCTTAGACGTTTCCACTTCATAATAACAGCACTTACAGTTGACTGGGGCAACTCTAGCAGGGCAGAAATTTGACAAACTGACTTGTTGGAAAGGTTGCATCCTATGACGGTGCAATGTTGAGTCACTGAGCTCTTCAGTAAGGCCATTCTACTGCCAATGTTTGTCTATGGAGATTGCATGGCTGTGTGCTCGATTTATTACACCTGTCAGCATGGGTGTGGCTGAAATAGCCCGAATCCACTCATTTGAAGGAGTGTCCACATACTTTTGTATATATAGTGTATTTTGTTATAGTCCTGAACTAGCACAACTAATGAAACTAGTCAAAGCCCCCCCCCAAGCAGAATCAGAGGCAGAGGCACATTGGCTTGGGGAAACTCTGTAGAACAAAGAAACCTAGAGAGGAACGTTACTCAAAGGGGTGGTCCATCCTCACCTGAAGTCGTCCGTAGAGTGCGGCCAGGTCCAGGGGGGTCTCGTTGCGGCTGTTTCTCATGGTGGGGTCTGTCAGCTCCTGCAGTAGGATGGACACCACCTCAGAGTGGCCGTACTGGGCCGCACAGTGCAGCGCTGTCTCACTCTCATGGTTCTGTATACAGGGGGGAGCAACTGTCTTAGTAAACAAACAATGTATCGCTTTACAATATGGATACATCTATTATGTTGACCTCATTGTCTGTGAGATCTTGCATGCATAGCTCCATCTACTGTGTGGGACAAACTCTACTGTCACACATACAGTTTACCAGAGGACTCTCCTGAATCTCCAGGGCAGTGTTCTTCTCTTCAACCCAATTAACCTGTCCTAGAGCTGCCCACAGTAGCCTTCTATCACCCCCTGTTGTCCGTCTATGGCAGGGATGGGCAACTGGTGGCCCCCCTTTTGTTAGTCACTCTCACTTAGATATCATATTGGCAAAATGTGTAGAATTGCAGGAAATAAGAGGGGGGCTGCTAAAATGTTTTGCTCTCCAGGTGGTGGAGGGGGGACCATTGCCCATCCCTGGTCTATGGTCAGTACCACACAACCTCCTTGTCAGGTCACATGGTCAGGATAATATCAGGGCACTCTGTAGAATACTTTCACAATATGGTAAAAAGGCCAGCCAGTCTATCAAAAGACATGGTGACATAATTGCCATATTGCTTCACAAATTGCTTCTACCTTTCAGGAGTGTCTATAGGCAATGGGGTTGATTTAGGTTTCTGCATTAGGATCTCAGGCTCAGTGGAACACGGTAGTGGTACAGTATTGACTGCAATAGAGCACAGCCATACAGGGTAGTACAGGACACAGCCATACAGGGTAGAGGACACAGCCATACAGGGTAGTACAGAGCACAGCCATATAGGGTAGTACAGAGCACAGCCATACAGGGTAGAGGACACAGCCATACAGGGTAGTACAGAGCACAGCCATACAGGGTAGAGGACACAGCCATACAGGGTAGTACAGAACACAGCCATACAGGGTAGAGGACACAGCCATACAGGGTAGTACAGAGCACAGCCATACAGGGTAGTACAGATCACAGCCATATAGGGTAGAGGACACAGCCATACAGGGTAGTACAGAGCACAGCCATACAGGGTAGTACAGGACACAGCCATACAGGGTAGAGGACACAGCCATACAGGGTAGTACAGATCACAGCCATACAGGGTAGAGGACACAACCATACAGGGTAGTACAGAGCACAGCCATACAGGGTAGTACAGGACACAGCCATACAGGGTAGAGGACACAGCCATACAGGGTAGAGGACACAGCCATACAGGGTAGAGGACACAGCCATACAGGGTAGTACAGAGCACAGCCATACAGGGTAGTACAGGACACAGCCATACAGGGTAGTACAGGACACAGCCATACAGGGTAGCACAGAGCACAGCCATACAGGGTAGAGGACACAGCCATACAGGGTAGTACAGAGCACAGCCATACGGGGTAGAGGACACAGCCATACAGGGTAGAGGACACAGCCATACAGGGTAGAGGACACAGCCATACAGGGTAGTACAGAGCACAGCCATACAGGGTAGAGGACACAGCCATACAGGGTAGTACAGAGCACAGCAGGAGAGCACTACAGAGAGGGATGACTGGTTCCACAAGCATGCTGTTTATACTGTATACTACACACTCGCAAACACACACACACACCACATATACACACACACCACATATATACACACACACACACTCTCTCTCTGTTTCTCCCTCTCACAGACACTCTGACACACAGGCACAGACACACCAGGGTTCTTTGTGGACACGAGATGGAATGGAAAAGTATGTGCTGGTTGAATTAAGAGAGGAAACATCCTTTTCCTCCTAATTCAGTGTGTGTTTGTGGTGTGTGTGTGGTGTGTGTGTGTAGTGTGTAGTGTGTGGTGTGTGTGTGTGAATCCCTAACTTTAATACAATCCAGCATTGGGAGAAGAGAAAGAAGGGGGGGGGGGGGGACCGGCTAATCTAACTAACTCTACTCTGGCTCACTGGAGCTGGGCATGGGAACACAGTACATTCACACACACACACACAGGCACGCATGAACATAGGTACACACACACACACACACACACAGGCACGTATGAACGTAGGTACACACACACACAGGCACGTATGAACGTAGGTACACCCACACGGGCACGTATGAACGTACGCACACACACCAACATTCAGCACGCTATGCTTCTCCCCTGGTCTGAACATCATCACTCTGAATACACACACCTCTCCTCCCACTTTTGTGCCTGCTCTCTCCTAAGCGCGAGCACTCCCCTCTTCTCTTCTCCCCCATCTTCATTACTCTGCCTGCAGTCATCTCCTGGAGAGGAGAGGGGAGCAATGCCATCGAATGAGCGCCCCTAGATGAGAGAGAGAGAGACGAGAGAGATGAGAGAGGAGAGAGAGAGGAGAGAGAGAGAGAGAGGAGAGGAGAGAGAGAGGAGAGAGAGAGGAGAGGAGAAGGAGAGAGAGAGAGAGAGAGAGAAAAGTGATGGAAAAAGGGTACAAGACACAAACCCACACAGTAAATACATACTCACCGACGCAGGGGGCAAAAACACTACAGCGTGCTACAGCGCTGTGCCTGACGGGCCAATCAAATCGCTCTGTTCCCCGCTCTATCCCCCCTCCACCCCTTGCTATAGTGGAATCTTCCAGAACAGAACTGTGCGCACTGCTGATACAGAGAGGGTGGGATAGAGACAGGGAACCGTCGCTCCATGTTGTCAAAGGAAGCCAATATATTTCCATTAGCTCTGACGGCTTACCGATATCAGCCAGCAGACAGAGCATTATTGCTGAATGAGCCATAAGCAACAGCCACCTGCTGCTATTAACACACCAATACCTGGCTGTCATAATGTTTGTGTTGAGTCTTTTGGTACACGGATGTTATACATGATGATTGTTCATAAAATGCTCAAAACTAGCGATGTGATTTGTGGAACGCCTCACGACTAGCGATTAATCTTATAATGAATGTATGGGATACAGCATGTTTTTATAGCGCTTATCGATTATATACTGTACAGGCAATGATCAGAAACAGTTTTGCTTGTTCATTTTCACTGCAGCCTGTTCTCACACAGAAACGTACACATGTACAGGCATACAGACACACACACAAACACACAGAATCCCTCTCTCTCTCTCTCTCTCTCTCTCTCTCTCTCTCACACACACACACACACACACACACTGCTATCCTAGCTAATCTACAAAAGGATAAATACACAGCTAGAGGCGTTTAAATAAACAGGTAATTTCAGGCTATCCCTGGGAAGATGAAATCAGAGGGCGGTGGGACAAGGGTGCTTGTTTGAACAGCCACTGTGTAACCACCGATTTGTCTGAGAGCACCAGGCACCGTTTACCCTGCTGCATAGCATTAACGCTAACATTTACATGAACATCCAGGAGGAGCTAGGTAAACAAACTAAGCAACATTTTAAAAGTGTGTGTGTCTGTGCGTGAGAGAGAGAGAGAGAGAGAGAGAGAGAGAGAGAGAGAGAGAGAGAGAGAGAGAGAGAGAGAGAAAGAAAGAGAGAGAGCGAGAGAGAGAAGGGGGGTGGAGAGAAAGCGAGCGAGATGGAAAAGAGAAATTAAGAAGATGAGTTTTAAAAAGACAGCTTTGATAGGCAATAGATTGAGGGAGAGAGAGAGAGAGAGAGAGAGAGAGAGAGGGAGGGAGGAAGGGAAGAGAGAAGAGGGGGAGAGAGAGAGAGAAGAGGGAGTGAGGAACAAGGGAAAAAAGAGAACAGCAAGACAGAGAGGAAGACTGAGAGAGAGAAGCTCTCTTGTGGCTAACACTTCACAGCCAATTGACCCATCTCTCACACTCTCTGGCATTAGCACTGGGAGAGAGAGATCCTCCACGCACGCACACAAACAGCACACTAGATCTTAGGATGGGCATATCCTCCCTGTTTTCACCTGAGAGGGAACTTTCACACGTTCCCAGTATTCCAAAAGGGAATTTGCCAGGAAGCATATGGTTCCATTTAAAAATGCTGTGGCAATGTACAACACACACCCCCCACAGGCAGTGACCTCAGCTCACACTCATGACCTCTGACCTATGTCATGGCTCACAGAGAGGGCAATGTTGCACCTGGTGAAAAGCTGGAAGTGTCGGCATTCTCCTCTTTAGGTATTTTATCCCCCTATAAAGTTACAGCAGCAGTCTTCTCCCTCTCTCCCTCTCTCCCTCTCTCCCTCTCTCCCTCTCTCCCTCTCTCCCTCCCTCCCTCCCTCCCTCCATGGGAAACGTATGTTAACATTGCCAAAGCAAGTGAAGTAGATAGTAAACAAAAGTGAAATAAACAATAAATATTAACAGTGAACATTACACTCAGAAGTAGATAATAAAGACATTTCAAATGTCATATTATGTATATATACAGTGTTTTAACAATGTGCAAATAGTTAAAGTACAAATGGGAAAATAAATAAACATAAATATGGGTTGTATTTACAATGGTGTTTGTTCTTCACTGGTTGCCCTTTTCTTGTGGCAACAGGTCACAAATCTTGCAGCTGTGATGGCACACTGTGGTTTTTCACCCAGTAGATAAGGGAGTTTATCAAAATTGGGTTTGTTTTTGAATTCTTTGTGGATCGCTGTAATCTGAGGGAAATATGTGTCTCTAATATGGTCATACATTTGGCAGGAGGTTAGGAAGTGCAGCTCAGTTTCCACCTCATTTTGTGGGCAGTGTGCACATAGCCTGTCTTCTCTTGAGAGCCAGGTCTGCCTACGGCGGCCTTTCTCAATAGCAAGGCTATGCTCACTGAGTCTGTACATAGTCAAAGCTTTCCTTAAGTTTGGGTCAGTCACAGTGGTCAGGTATTCTGCCACTGTGTACTCTCTGTTTAGGGCCAAATAGCATTCTAGTTTGCGCTGTTTTTTTGTTTGTTCTTTCCAATGTGTCAAGTAATTCTCTTTTTGTTTTCTCATGATTTGTTTGGGTTTAATTGTGTTGTTGTTGTTGTCCTGGGGCTCTGTGGGGTCTGTTTGTGTTTGTGAACAGAGCCCCAGGACCAGCTTACTTAGGGGACTCTTCTCCAAGTTCATCTCTCTGTAGGTGATGGCTTTGTTATGGAAGGTTTGGGAATCGCTTGGTTATAGAATTTAACGGCTCTTTTCTGGTTTTTGATAATTAGCGGCTATTGGCCTAATTCTGCTCTGCATGCATTATTTGGTGTTTTACGTTGTACACTGAGGATGTTTTTGCAGAATTCTGCATGCAGAGTCTCAATTTGGTGTTTGTCCCATTTTGTGAATTCTTGGTTGGTTCTAGTGCCCTCGCCAATTAGTTGATATATATGTTGAAGAGGGTGGGCTTAAGCTGCATCCCTGTCTCACCCCCCCGGCCCTGTGGAAAGAAATGTGTGTTTTTTGCCCATTTTAACCGCACACTTGTTGTTTGTGTACATGGATTTTATAATGTCGTATGTTTTCCCCCCAACACCACTTTCCATCAATTTGTATGGCAGGCCCTCATGCCAAATTGAGTCGAAAGCTTTTTTTAAATCAACAAAGCATGAGAAGACTTTGCGTTTGTTTTGATTTGTTTGTTTGTCATTTAGAGTGTGCAGCGTGAATACGTGGTCTGTCCAACGGTAATTTGGTAAAAAGCCAATTTGATATTTGTGACTCATTTCAGGAAACTAGGCGTATGTAGCGGGTCACAACTTCACAGGAAAGCCATTTGAACATAAACTTTTTTTTTATCGATATTTTTTTTTTTTTGGCAGAAATGCCTTCTGCAACATGTGAACTTTCATGTGCCTTAATAACAAACTAGTATGCCATCTGTAAATACGAATAGAATTGTTAAATTACGAGCCTAGTCTGTTAAGTCACAGAAAAAGACAGCAACCTTCCCACTAGCCATGATTGGCTAGTGGGCTGGACATGCCGAGAGAGGAGTTCGGATTGGTCTGCCATATAGCACACTTCTGTCTATTTGAGCTGGTCAGTATGTGTAGGTAATACTGTCTAACACAGCTTTTTTTAAATGTATCGTGTAGTGGAGCTGCATAAGTACTGCTCTCCACTTTCTGGAGGATCGAGTTTTGAAATCAGTGGAATTAGAGTATGATAGCTAAAGAGGTGGAGAAAACACCTGTCTCTGGATCTTCAAACTAAGGGCAACCGTGACAGGGAGACTTGTCCATCATGCATGATGTATACGGGTAAAATAGTCTAGCTAGCTACATTTTCAGATATTACACGTTTCTAATTTTGACAGAAAGTGGTTTCATTTCAAGTTAAAGTGTACTGTTAGCTAGCTAACGTTAGCTGGCTGGCTCGCTAGCTAACATTACATGTACAATCTTACTCCTATCCCAGAGCCATTTGCTTGCTAACATTGAACCTGGTTGGTTAGCTATCTGCAGATTCATGCAGGGTGCTAACGTACTGAGTTGTGATTATGGTTAATTGTTTACGTAGCTAGCTAGCTACATATCTTAACAAAAGACTCCACTATGCAAGTAACCATTTCGGGTGCGTTCGTAAATTCAGTCAGAGTATGCCAGAGCGCAGAATAACTGATGAATTTACGAACGCACAACACCCGTTGAATAAATGTCACCAAAAAAGCATAATTAAAATGTTGCCAGCAGCACAGTTAGTCACCAACGCTCTGGATAACATGAAAACAGCCTAACCATCTCTGCTAGGGTGAGTAAAATTGCTGTTTTCCTTTTATCCAGAGGTAAACAATGAACCATAATCCCAATTTTGTGTCTGGACGTAGCTAGCTAGCCAATGTTAGCCAGTTAGCTTGGGCGCTTGACTGCTGTTGTGAGGTCAGAACGCTCGGATCAACCCTACTCATCGGCCAGAGCATCAAGTGTGCGCTCTGAACGCTCCGAGAGCGAAACGAGATGGGTGGGGCTAAAGCTTAAGAGGGTGTGAATGATGCTGAATGGGTGTAGACAAAGAAGAGCTCTTTAGTAGGTACCAAAACATTCAAAGGACATTTTCTCAAAAGTGAGATCAACTTTCAAAGCAGAATTCCTTTCCCATTGTTCCCTTAAATGCAGTGTATGATATACCATTTTGTAGCTCTGTGTCCAATGTAAAAAACACAATTTCAAATTTTGCTACATAAGACAAGGCGGTCGGTCATATTTGCTCAGTACATTGTTTTCGCTGAGGAAATGTACGAGTCTGTTGTTAATGATAATGCAGAGGATTTTCCCAAGGTTGCTGTTGACGCATATCCCACGGTAGTTATTGGGGTCAAATTGGAATTTGTGGTCTGTATATTTTATCATTTCATTTAGGATACCATCAACCCCACAGGCCTTTTTGGGTTGGAGGGTTTGTATTTTGTCCTGTAGTTCATTCAATGTAATTGGAGAATCCAGTGGGTTCTGGTAGTCTAATAGTTGATTCTAATATTTTTATTTGATCACGTATATGTTTTTGCTGTTTGTTTGTTATAGGGCCAAAAAGATTGGAGAAGTGGTTTATCCATACATCTCCGTTTTGGATACATAACTCTTTGTGTTGTTGTTTGTTTAGAGTTTTCCAATTTTCCCAGAAGTGGTTAGATTCTATGGATTCTTCAATTACATTGAGCTGATTTCTGACATGCTGTTCCTTCTTTTTCCGTTGTGTATTTCTGTATTGTTTTAGTGATTCACCATAGCGAAGGCGTAGGTTCAGGTTTTCTGGGTCTCTATGTTTTTGGTTGGATAGGTTTCTCAATTTCTTTCTTAGGTTTTTGTATTCTTCATCAAACTATTTGTCATTGTTGTTAATTTTCTTGATTTGATAGGGAAGCTGAGAGGTCAAACATACTGTTTAAGTTTTCTACTGCCAAGTTTACAGGCCCCATGTAGCTCAGTTGGTAGAGCATGGCGCTTGCAACGCCAGGGTTGTGGGTTTCGATTCCCACGGGGGGCATGTATGAAAAAAACAAAACATGTATGCACTCACTAACTGTAAGTCGCTCTGGATAAGAGTGTCTGCTAAATGACTAAAATGTAAATGTATTACAGTGAAACATATTGTCTAGAAGGGATTGAATTTGTTGTTGCCTAATAGTTTTTTGGTAGATTTCCACACTACTTTCCTTCCGTCTAGCATTTCTTAATGAGACTCTCTCAGAGTCAGAAGAAAGAGAGGGAGAGAAAGTGAATGGTGTATTCTTTCCGTCCCCCTGCTGTTGGAAAAGAAAACATTCCTGTCTGCAGCATAGAGGGACCTAGAGAGGACATGGTTACACACACGTGTGCATGTGGCGTCTGTGTGTTTGTCTGTTTGTGTGTTGCTGAGGTGTATAAGGAGTTGAACAGGGTTTCCCAAACTCGGTCCTAGGTCCCCCTCCCCCTGGGTGAAGGTTGGGTTTTTGCCCTAGCACTACACAGCTGATTCAAATAACCAACTCATCATCAAGTTTTGATTATTTGAATCAGCTGTGTAGTGCTAGAGCAAAAAATGAAATGTGCACCCAGGGGGAGGAGCCAGGACCGAGGTTGAGAACCACTGTGCACCCAGGGGGAGGAACCAGGACCGAGGTTGAGAACCACTGTGCACCCAGGGGGAGGAACCAGGACCGAGGTTGAGAACCCCTGTGGTAGAAGAGGGGTTTGTTTTCCAACAAGAGACACTTAACATGAATGAGCTTCCATTGATTTTCTGCTAGTAGAGCCATGTCCTAATGCATGCAGAGATTGGTCAATTCAATGGTTACGGCTCACTGACTCATGAACACACACTCACACACACTCACACACGCAAGTATACACAGACACCTGCATATTCACACAGAATTTATACGTATACATTATAAACAATTACTCAAATGAAAGCATTTGTGAACTGACACAACACGCTCTCCTGTTAATGCCACATAAGCATAGCATAAAAAGCTCTGTGTGTGTGCATGAATTTGTGTACGGTGTTTGTGTGTGTGTGTGTTCAGTGTACATGTGTGTTCAGTGTACCCAGTAGTAAACAGTGGGCTCTGCCTGCTTTACAACCATCCAATAACCTCCCATAACCTCCAATAACCTCCCATAACCTACCACTAATAGAACTGACACACCTTCTAGTCTGTTTACTATCTATCTCTCTCTACCTCCATCCTTCAGTCTCCCTCTCTCGTGTCTCTATCACTTTCTATCCTCCTCTTACCCCTCTCTCATTCTGTCTAGCATGCTTCTTCTTTCCCTCTACCTCCCTCCTCTATTCCTACCTCTACCTCCCTCATTCTACCTTTTCCTTGCTTCTTCCCTCATTTACTACCTTCCTCCTCTCTATCTCTACTCTTCTCTCCCTCCCTCTCCCCTTCCTCTCTCTCCCCCTATCTTTCTCCATAGTAAAACCAAACTGCTTCAAAATGTTACTCCTGCATGCTCCTGATTCCTCCAATAAAACTGTAGTAAACACCAGCATGGCAATCCATTCACACACACACACACTCCGCTCTGACATGAGTAATGGTGTGTGTGTAATATAATTCAGGTGGGGTAATGTGTAGAGAATGGCCCAGCGCTGTTAGTGTTGATGATGAGTGTGTTGTTTAGTGGGCACTATATCTTGGTGACTAGTGTAATATATGCAGGGTGTAGTTTCTGGTTCAGGCAGTGTAGTGCCAAAGATATACAGTAGCTCCACACACACAGACACAGACACAGACACACACAATCTTGAGTAAATCATCTCTCACTGATTTACACAGCCACAGACAAATACAGACACGTATGTGTGAAAACACACTGTCCACACATTTACCCATTCTCATGATAGTGCAGAACAGTGTATAGAACAGTATAGTGCAGAACAGAACAGTGTGTTGTCCAGTATTAGAGTGTGCTGTGTGTTCCCTCCTCACCTGCTGGTTGACGCGGCAGTGTGAGGGCCCGTGGTGGATGAGGATACGGACGATGTCTACGTCCCCCCGCCAGGCAGCCAGGTGCAAGGGGAAGCAGCCCTTACTGTCAGCCACGTTGGTGGAGGCTTCAAACTGGAGCAACTTCAATACCACGTCCCTGAGAAGGGGGGGGAGGGGGGAGGATGGGGGAGAATGGGGGAAGCGGAAGGGGATAGAGAGAGAGGGAGAAGGGGAGAGAGAGGGAGAAGGGGAGAGAGATAAAGAAGAAGAGGGAGAGAGAGAAAGAAAGAAAGAAAATGGAAACAGAGCGAGAAGGGGGGAGAGAGAGAAAATCATGAGTACTTTACTTGGCCCGAATCATAATGGCTGCATAACCAAGGCTACCCTGAATGTTTATATGTAGATTAAAATCATTAATAGCATTAGCTGGACTGAAATTCACTCTTCACATTGAAAGAATACAGTTTGTTGCTTCACCTTTTAGAACGCCACGTTCACATTGTTTGTGTCCCAAATGGCACCCTATTCCCTATATAGTGCACTACTACAGTATATGGGGAATAGGGTGCAATTTAGGATGCATACATTGTCAAAATTCAAGCGTCTAAAAGTTTACAGTTAAATTGGTAGTTCCCTCTTTCTTCCCCCCTCATCTAAACTTCTAAATCACTTCTCTAAGTGTGTGTTGGTGACCTTGTTTTTCACTTGGAGACTGTACTTTTCGCTCTCTCCCTCCTTCTCTCTCCCTCCTTCGCTCTCCCTTTATCTCTCTCTCTCCCTCCTTCTCTCTCTGCTCTACTGCAGCTTTTCTAAAGAAGGAAATCCACATAATTGCCTCCAAAGCACAGTGTTAATCCGACAGTTTGGCTGAGCAGGGCTAGCCGTCAGACTCATCTTAATCCAACAGTGGGAAAAGGGATTTGTGTGTGTGTGTGTGTGTGTGTGTGTGTGTGTGTGTGTGTTTGTGTGTGTGTGTGTGTGTGTGTGTGAGTTAGGGCTGGTCGATATGGCATAAAAATCTCTATTTTTTCCAAATGTATTGGTGATTCACGATATACATCTTGATTTTTTAAAATGCTTTCTCTAAATAAGCTTTGTTGTACAATTAAAGGTCAATACACTGCATTTCAAACAGTCAGCAATAATCTAATGAATTCAGGGCTTCTGAAATTATACCTTGGCTAAATATACAGTTGAAGTCGGAAGTTTACATACACTTAGGTTGGAGTCATTAAAACTCGTTTTTCAACCACTCCACAAATTCCTTGTTAACAAACTATAGTTTTGGCAAATTGGTTAGGACATCTACTTTGTGCATGACACAAGTAACTTTTCCAACAATTGTTTACAGACAGATTATTTCACTTATAATTCACTGAAACACAATTCCAGTGGGTCAGAAGTTTACATACACTAAGTTAACTGTGCCTTTAAACAGCTTGGAAAATTCCAGAAAAATGATGTCATGGCTTTAGAAGCTTCTGATAGGCTAATTGATCATTGCCATTGACATCATTTGAGTCAATTGGAGGTGTACCTGTGGATGTATTTCAAGGCCTTCCTTCAAACTCAGTGCCTCTTTGCTTGACATCATGGGAAAATCAAAAGAAATCAGCCAAGACCTCAGAAAAAGAATTGTAGACATCCACAAGTCTAGTTCATCCTTGGGAGCAATTTCCAAACGCCTGAAGGTACCACGTTCATCTGTACAAACAATAGTACGCAAGTATAAATGCCATGGGACCACGCAGCCGTCATACCGCTCAGGAAGGAGACGGGTTCTGTCTCCTAGAGATTAACGTACTTTGGTGCGAAAAGTGCAAATCAATCCCAGAACAACAGCAAAGGACCTTGTGAAGATGCTGGAGGAAACAGGTACAAAAGTATCTATATTCACAGTAAAACGAGTCCTATATCGACATAACCTGAAAGGCCGCTCAGCAAGGAAGAAGCCACTGCTCCAAAACCGCCATAAAAAAGCCAAACTATGGTTTGCAACTGCACATGGGGACAAAGATCGTACTTTTTGGAGAAATGTCCTTTGGTCTGATTAAACAAAAATATAACTCTTTGGCCATAATGACCATCGTTAGGTTTGGAGGAAAAAGGGGGATGCTTGCAAGCCGAAGAACACCATCCCAACCTTGAAGCATGGGGGTGGCAGCATCAATATGTGGGGGTGCTTTGCTGCAGGAGGGACTGGTGCACTTCACAAAATAGATGGCATCATGAGGAAGGAAAATTATGTGGATATATTGAAGCAACATCTCAAGACATCAGTCAGGAGGTTAAAGCTTGGTCGCAAATGGGTCTTCCAAATTGACAATGACCCCAAGCATACTTCCAAAGTTGTGGCAAAATGGCTTAAGGACAACAAAGTCAAGGTATTGGAGTGGCCATCACAAAGCCCTGACCTCAATCCTATAGAAAATGTGTGGGCAGAACTGAAAAAGCGTGTACGAGCAAGGAGGCCTACAAACCTGACTCAGTTACACGAGCTCTGTCAGGAGGAATGGGCCAAAATTCACCCAACTTATTGTGGGAAGCTTGTGGAAGGCTACCCAAAACGTTTGACCCAAGTTAAACAATTTAAAGGCAATGCTACCAAATACTAATTGAGTGTATGTAAACTTCTGACCCACTGGGAATGTGATGAAAGAAATAAAAGCTGAAATAAATCATTCTCTCTACTATTATTCTGACATTTCACATTCTTAAAATAAAGTGGTGATCCTAACTGACCTAAAACAGGGAATTTTTACTAGGATTAAATGTCAGGAATTGTGAAAAACTGAGTTGAAATGTATTTGGCTAAGGGGTATGTAAACTTCCGACTTCAACTGTAAGCTCTCCACAACCATAAGAACCACTAATATTGTAATTATTTTATGAAAACAGTTTAACCTGCTTTTTTGCAATAATCACTGATCTGGCTTTCAAGTCTGTGTGTGTGTGTGTGTGTGAATGGGAAGGTGCACGGTCACAGCAGAAGAGAAGGAGATGAGACCAAAAATACAACAAGCAGATATAAACGCTCAGAAAAATCTACAAACCTTGATTCTTGCGATACAGGCATTTGGAATATCGCGGAAAAACATAAATTTAAATTAATCAAATTAATTTGATATATCGCCCAGCCCTGGTGTGTGTATGTGTGTGTGTGTGTGTGTGTGTGTGTGTGTGCATGCCAGGTAAAGGCAATCACATTGCATTACACTCACAAGCATGCAAGCACACAATTCCTCACCCCCACCAGCCACTCTCCACATTCACACACACACACACACACACACACACACACACACACACACACACACACACACACACACACACACTCTTACCTGTGTCCGTTCAGTGATGCGTGGTGGAGGGGTGTGTACCCTGAACTGTCTGTACAGTTTACATTCAAGCCTCTCCACATGCTGTGGACACAAGACAGAGACAGACTGTAAGCCATCACGCACCAAGACACAGTCTTTATAATTGTATGCTTTCCAATTTAACTTGATTATTTCTCTTCTTCTTTGTGAAGTTTTTTGTAATTGAAATCACACTTAATTCCACAACAAGCTTTCTATATCGTTGCATCAGATGTGTTGAGCACATGATCATGATAGACACTTAAGTACAAAGAGACACAATATAGAAACCCTTTTCTTCTAGCCTGATCCCAGATCTGTTTGGGCCTTAGCCACATCACAATTACCATAGGAGTTGGCAAAACAGCACAAACAGATCTGGGACCAGGATACTTTTCTTCTATGTTTTTCTATGGGATGTGGGACTTCTACAGGGCTAAGATTAGCATGCAATGTGGACTCGTTTTCCCATGACCTTCGAAGCCACTCTCCCTCTCTCTCCCTCCGAAAATAAAAGAGAAATTAGTAAAAACTTTCGCCAGCTTTGGAATGTACAGCATGAAGAAAGTAGTGCCAGATTTGGAACTCTGCAACACAAGGCTACGTTCAACAAGGCACATTTCCAAACTCTTCGACTTGTCGAAATAACAAATGACAAGTCAAATGTGTTCCAGGTTTCAAACTACTGGGTTGTTGAGGTAGAAGTTGTTGCATTAGGAGGTAAAGTTCCTCAGGAGAAATACTATTTTTTTACTCCACACACAGGCGCACACACACACACACACACACACACACACACACACACACACACACACACACACACACACACACTGTGCGTACAAAAATCAACAGGACAGGCATCTGGTATATGTCCCTAGCATAGGGCACGACAACATCTCTCATAACAACACTACTACCACTCCATCATAGCAGGGGGGAGGGGCTTTAGTTTGCACTCACAGAGAGTGATTGACAGCTGATGTGGACAATCATGGGGTAGATAGGGATCAAACACACTCCCCTACTGTACTGTACACACACACAGAGACATATCAACGCACTGAATACACCAGACGATATAGCTCTCTCTCTCACACACACACACACACACACGCTCCACATAAACAACTCTCTCAAGCACAGGCCTACTATTCACATACACATCCTTGACACACCCAAAGCTTACAAACACACACACCCACATTTAATCTTCACATAAACACCCCTCACACTCTTCACATGAACAACACTCTGAGACAGACACACACACACACACACACACACACACACATTCACTCACACTTCCCTCATGTGTAAACACACTGATTGTATAAGAGTGTATGAGTCCTTTAGGTTGGACCAGGTGTGAGCTGATATGAGGTGACTGGCCAGTGCTCACTAACAAGAGCCTTTAGATAAAGGTGCAATCTGTAAGTTTGAGAAAACAAAATAAAAAGTGATTTAAAAAAGAGCGGTGTTTGTTCACACACCTTGGGTAGTTCCTTCATAGAGGAACATTCAGAACAAGAAACTAAGGCACACTGGTATTCTTGTACTCCCCAAAATGATGTAATGGGTCTCAAACCTTTCCTCACAGGACTAAGAGTTTTAATTAATTTCCACATTCTATTTCATATTCTACATTCTATTCAAGTTTACATTGTATTCTAGTCCACATTCTACATTCTATTCAAGTTTACATTGTATTCTAGTCCACATTCTACATTCTATTCAAGTTTACATTGTATTCTAGTCCACATTCTACATTCTATTCAAGTTTACATTGTATTCTAGTCCACATTCTACATTCTATTCAAGTTTACATTGTATTCTAGTCCACATTCTACATTCTATTTAAGTTGACATTGTATTCTAGTCCACAATCTACATTCTATTCTACATGCTAGACTGCATTCTGTCACATTTTACACTCCAATTTATTAAATTCCACATAGATTCTATTGCACATTCCACAGCCAATTCCCTAGTCTCCCCCATGCATTGTCTTGCAGTGGACTCTATTCTCTTCTACTGTGCTTTCACTATGTGCACAAAGGCAAGAAGCAGTCCTCAAACTGAATTAGGGAGAAACATTAGATAAGAAATACATGTAGACATTCTTGTAGACTAGACGTCTGCTTATTTGGAGATTAGAGTAATATGCAGACTGATTTCGGTCTACTGCCCTTAGACACAACCTCTCTGTGTCTTTCCCCTCAATCTGTTACCGAAGAAAGTGGACTTCTCAATATTGGCAAGTTGGAGAAAAAGTCACCCCCTATCTTTTCATGACTGTAGACACTTCAATTAGGTCTGTATTGCTTCATTAACATCTCACTTTCATAACCAACACTGGGGGACAGCTGTGAGTGGAGAAACAAGCTCTGTGAGCTCTTTCAAAAGGCCATGAAATTAGCCCTTTTCTTTTAGAAATGGCAGAAATTCATAAAATGTCCTAATTAAATGTTTCAAATAAAGCTGAACTCCAACATATAAACCTTCAGGATAATTATGAATGTGGTTTCATTTGCAAATGACTAACTTTATTTGGGCATGCTTAGGTTGACTTTCCCACAGAACCGCCCTCTAGCCTCTAATAACTTCACAGGAAATCAAAGTGTACAGGAAAATATAAGGGACAGGTGAGGAGATAGAAGGAGTGAAAGAATGAAGACATTCTTCATTTCCTGCTTGTTTGTTATTGATTGTTGGTACCAGCTGTGTGAAGGTTACAGCACTGGAGGAACACACTTATTAACCTGAACTATGTGGTGGGCTGACAGCCACACGTACAGTGGGGGAAAAAAGTATTTAGTCAGCCACCAATTGTGCAAGTTCTCCCACTTAAAAAGATGAGAGAGGCCTGTAATTTTCATCATAGGTACACGTCAACTATGACAGACAAAATGAGAAAAAAAAATTCCAGAAAATCACATTGTAGGATTTTTATGAATTTATTTGCAAATTATGGTGGAAAATAAGTATTTGGTCAATAACAAAAGTTTCTCAATACTTTGTTATATACCCTTTGTTGGCAATGACACAGGTCAAACGTTTTCTGTAAGTCTTCACAAGGTTTTCACACACTGTTGCTGGTATTTTGGCCCATTCCTCCATGCAGATCTCCTCTAGAGCAGTGATGTTTTGGGGCTGTCGCTGGGCAACACAGACTTTCAACTCCCTCCAAAGATTTTCTATGGGGTTGAGATCAGGAGACTGGCTAGGCCACTCCAGGACCTTGAAATACTTCTTACGAAGCCACTCCTTCATTGCCCGGGCGGTGTGTTTGGGATCATTGTCATGCTGAAAGACCCAGCCACGTTTCATCTTCAATGCCCTTGCTGATGGAAGGAGGTTTTCACTCAAAATCTCACGATACATGGCACCATTCATTCGTTCCTTTACACGGATCAGTCGTCCTGGTCCCTTTGCAGAAAAACAGCCCCAAAGCATGATGTTTCCACCCCCATACTTCACAGTAGGTATGGTGTTCTTTGGATGCAACTCAGCATTCTTTGTCCTCCAAACACGACGAGTTGAGTTTTTACCAAAAAGTTCTATTTTGGTTTCATCTGACCATATGACATTCTCCCAATCCTCTTCTGGATCATCCAAATGCACTCTAGCAAACTTCAGACAGGCCTGGACATTTACTGGCTTAAGCAGGCGGACACGTCTTGCACTGCAGGATTTGAGTCCCTGGCGGCGTAGTGTGTTACTGATGGTAGGCTTTGTTACTTTGGTCCCAGCTCTCTGCAGGTCATTCACTAGGTCCCCCCGTGTGGTTCTGGGATTTTTGCTCACCGTTCTTGTGATCATTTTGACCCTACGGGGTGAGATCTTGCGTGGAGCCCCAGATCGAGGGAGATTATCAGTGGTCTTGTATGTCTTCCATTTCCTAATAATTGCTCCCACAGTTGATTTCTTCAAACCAAGCTGCTTACCTATTGCAGATTCAGTCTTCCCAGCCTGGTGCAGGTCTACAATTTTGTTTCTGGTGTCCTTTGTCAGCTCTTTGGTCTTGGCCATAGTGGAGTTTGGAGTGTGACTGTTTGAGGTTGTGGACAGGTGTCTTTTATACTGATAACAAGTTCAAACAGATGCCATTAATACAGGTAACGAGTGGAGGACAGAGGAGCCTCTTAAAGAAGAAGTTACAGGTCTGTGAGAGCCAGAAATCTTGCTTGTTTGTAGGTGACCAAATACTTATTTTCCACCATAATTTGCAAATAAATTCATAAAAAATCCTACAATGTGATTTTCTGGATTTTTTTTTCTCAATTTGTCTTTCATAGTTGACGTGTACCTATGATGAAAATTACAGGCCTCTCTCATCTTTTTAAGTGGGAGAACTTGCACAAATAGTGGCTGACTAAATACTTTTTTGCCCCACTGTACATGCACACACAGTACGTCAATATTTTCACACATTCTCAAACTATTACTGGTATAAATATGCATATTCACACGCACGTCGCGCACACGCACAAACTTGAGGAAAACCTTTCTGCAACCCAGATTTAATTCACCTCCCATCCCCATCCACAGACACATACAATCTCCCAGCAGCTCCAGGGCAGTAAATGCTGCTTGAGACACCGCAATGCCGTTACCAGACGTGTGTGAGAGAAGGGGGTGAAGTCGGTCACACTCATTAGTGTGTGGGTGTGCGCACACGCATGTGTGTGTAAAGGTTTTGAATGTGCACGCATTTAAAGACACACACAAAGAGACTATACAGTGCATTCAAACGTTTATTCACATATCATATACACAACATGTATACCATATACTAGCAAACAAGAACTCACACGAGTCCACTGAACTTCCACTTCAAACCACACACAAAATCCAATGGATGAAAACACACACACACACACACACCAGAGATGAACAAACACATAAACCCCTTCAATGCCACAATTTGACATACAGCCTTATAAGCCCATGTGCATGACACTATAATAAAATAAAGACAGACACACAACCTCAAGCATTTCTTCAAACTAAGCTGCCTGACGTTTGATGAAAATCTCATTTGCACTCTCTTATCATATCACACAATCTCATCTTCCTCTTTACTGAATAGGAATCCATCCCTAAACCTGACTTACAGAGAAGTGGTGTTTTTAAGCCTACAACACACACACACACACACACACACACACACACACACATCTCAATTCAATAAACACACACACACACCCAAACCAGTGCACTGGCAACCATCTAATGGCCTGTAACATGCTCAGTAGGGTAAAGGTTGACGTCACAGGGTCATTCCACCTCAAAAAGCACAAGAAAGAGGATTGACACCCACCATCTCATATTGTGATGAAATCGTTTCTGTAGTTAGAAACAGATAACATTAGCACTTCTGAAATATTATTTTGTTGAAATATAACTTGATCTCTGAGAAATTAAACTAATTGATTTCACCCAAATTGGTCATTTTAATTGAAGGGATTCATATAATTTTCAATAAATATAGTACGGATCATCCAATTTGGACTGTAATTCTTCCTAACAATGAATAAGACATGAGGAATCCAATAAAATGATTAAAAGCCACCCACGGACCGCCCACACCCCTCATCAATCCTACTCCAACAACCAGTATACAGTATGAGTTCTCTATGACTGACAAGTAGTATGGAGCTGCGGCTTGGAGTACTGCTTCTTCATCCTTTGTAATGTATTCCCTGTTAATCTGGTGATGTTTTTCCCCCTGTTCAGAGAAATTGGTTTGCTTGTTCACCAGGAACGGTCTAACTAATCCAGACCTTTCTTGAAGGGATTATTATTATTATTATTATTATTATTATTATTATTATTATTATTATTGTGAGGATGACCACACAATTGATTTTATCATGAGCAAAAGCTATTGGTTTCCTACCCAAAGTTGCAAAGAAAATGTTGTGATCCATTTAATAAACACAAGAGACCAGCAACATTTATAAAAGGGTGTGGCAGTAGCAGGAACAGTGGCATCTAGTGGGCAAAACTTTGTACTTTCACACAACTTTATAGCAAATAATGCAAGCGACTACAATAGCTAATTTATCTGAACAGGGGGGGGGGGGGGGGGGGGGGGGGAAACATCACCAGATTAACAGGGAATACATTTAAATAGGATGAAGAAGCAAAATTCCAAGCCACAGCTCCATACTACTTGTCAGACATAGTGAATTTATACTGTATACTGGTTGTTGGGGAGAATGGAGTGGTATGTGGGGGGTCCGTGGGTGGCTTTTGAAAATGTTATTGGATTCCTCATGTCTTACTTAATGGTAAGAAGAAGTTTAGTCCAAATCCGATTTTGGTTACTATATTTATTGAATATTATGTGAATCTTACAAATCAAAATGGCCAGTTTGGGTGCAATCAAATTAGCTTTATTTCTCAGAGATCAAATGAAATTCCAACAAAATAATGTTGAAGGAATGCTAATCTTATCTGTTTCTAACTACATAAACGATTTCAGAACAATCTGTGATGGTGGTTGTCATGGCTTGCTGAAATGACATGGAACGACTCCACAGGAAGTTATTCATTAGGAGATCAAACTGCCCTCCGTTCCACTTCTCTCACACACACACACACACACACACACACACACACACACACACACACACACACACACACACACACACACACACACAGTTACTGGCAGGAGGAACTGACCCCATCCTTTCAATCCCACTCGACAATAATGAAACCAGACACGGCCAATCGATACCAGCAGCGCACCCCCCATCCCCCCGGGATTCAGGAAGTATATTGATGGGCTTTGATCATTGATCATCTTGTCATCCTGCCGGTCAGTTTGTCAGTGAGAGAGGGACACAGGATGTGACGGGGTTGCATTGCAAATTACACCTTATTCCATATACACTGAGTATACAAAACAATAACTATTTCCATGAACGGGGTATGGTAGTAGGTGCCAGTCGCACCGGCTTGAGTGTGTCAAGAACTGTAACGCTGCTGTTTTTTTTTTAACGCTCAACAGTTTCCCATGTGTATCAAGAATGGTCCACCCAACCAAAGGACATCCAGCCAACTTGTCCAATTTGCCCCGACAAATTGAGTCTGTTCTGAGGGCAACTCAATATTAGGAAGGTGTTCTTAATGTTTGGTATACTCAGTGTGTACTGCACTACTTTTGACCAGGGCCCATAGGGCAGAAGTAGTTCACAACATAGGGAATAGGGTGCCATTTGGGACGCAAACGAGTAGTGATGTGGCATTTCTGGCTTCCTTAGTAAATGCGAGACAATGCGTTGAGGCTTTAGTAGTGAAATGCCCTGAGTGGCTATGTTAATGAGTTGGAATTACTCAACAAAGATAATTAATGAAATTATCATCTAGATTTGCCTGAGAGGGACTTTATTACTATAGGAGGTGAATTGTCTGACAGAGTGAAATATACTTGTATTGATCTAGAGTTAACTCCTATTAGTGTTAAACAAAAACACTGTTACTGGAAGTCATTTTGGGTGTTGTTTTAAAGGGCAATTCCACCACTTTCCAACCTCATTTTCATTATCTCCAGCACAATACCAGTGTCTACATACTGTATGTGAAAACAGCACATTTCTACATTCTGTACTGTACTTTCATTCTTTACTGTACTCTACTGTGCTGTACTGTCCAAACGTGTGAACCCAACTGTGGTTTGTGACTACTATGATTTCCCATTGTAGCCAATTCAATTGCATTACCGATTCGTCTGAAATTCCATTACCGATTTGGTAACTTAATAAATCAGAAACAAAATTGATATCAATAAAAATAATTAATTGATAGGTCTACCTTTACTTGTTACTTCTGTGAACATTAATTATCCTCCCTCTTCATGAGGGAGAGAAATTAGAAAATATGGTAACGGAAACTAAATATAAGTGTGGATATTAGTTGGCAGGGGTCTTTACTTCAACATTATTGTATTTTGATGTATTTCTAATAACTTGTAAGACATTTTTTGTAGATGTTTTCTAAGACCCCTTTTCCATCTGTTTGACCAGAAATCAAAGCCTTTGCTTCTTCCTAATTTTTAGGATGGAAAATGGTTGTAAACATTTACATATGCCTTAATTTCTCAATAATATAGACTCTTAACTTTAATTTGACATCCAATTTGACATGCTACTATTAACTTCACATGTTGGTACTCATGGGCCCTTTTACATGGAAATTACTGTGTGTTATTTATCTTTGTGTAGCATAAGATTAATTAATCAATCAATGTACATGCAAAAACACAGATTAATTTAACTCCTGAATCAACACTAGAAATGTTACACTGAAAACACTGGCCAATTGCTACGCTCTAGTATCAAATGAGGAGAAGAGAGAGAGAGAGAGAGAGAGAGAGAGAGAGAGAGAGAGATAGAGAGAGAGATAGAGAAAGAGAGAGAGACATCCACTGAGGATATACACAAGCCACAGATTCTACTCCTTATGGACTCAAATGGGAAATATATACAGTGGGGAGAACAAGTATTTGATACACTGACAATTTTGCAGGTTTTCCTACTTACAAAGCATGTAGAGGTCTGTAATTTTTATCATAAGTACACTTCAACTGTGAGAGACGGAATCTAAAACAAAAATCCAGAAAATCACGTTGTATGATTTTTAAGTAATTAATTTGCATTTTATTGCATGACATAAGTATTTGATACATCAGAAAAGCAGAACTTAATATTTGGTACAGAAACCTTTGTTTGCAATTACAGAGATCATACGTTTCCTGTAGGTCTTGACCAGGTTTGCACACACTGCTGCAGGGATTTTGGCCCACTCCTCCATACAGACCTTCTCCAGATCCTTCAGGTTTCGGGGCTGTCGCTGGGCAATACGGACTTTCAGCTCCCTCCAAAGATTTTCTGTTGGGTTCAGGTCTGGAGACTGGCTAGGCCACTCCAGGACCTTGAGATGCTTCTTACGGAGCCACTCCTTAGTTGCCTTGGCTGTGTGTTTTGGGAAGACCCAGCCACGACCCATCTTCAATGCTCTTACTGAGGGAAGGAGGTTGTTGGCCAAGATCTCGCGATACATGGCCCCATCCATCTTCCCCTCAATACGGTGCAGTCGTCCTGTCCCCATTGCAGAAAAGCATCCTCAAAGAATGATGTTTCCACCTCCATGCTTCACGGTTGGGATGGTGTTCTTGGGGTTGTACTCATCCTTCTTCTTCCTCCAAACACGGCAAGTGGAGTTTAGACCAAAAAGCTCTATTTTTGTCTCATCAGACCACATGACCTTCTCCCATTCCTCCTCTAGATCATCCAGATGGTCATTGGCAAACTTCAGACAGGCCTGGACATGCGCTGGCTTGAGCAGGGGGACCTTGCGTGCGCTGCAGGATTTTAATCCATGACGGCGTAGTGTGTTACTAATGGTTTTCTTTGAGACTGTGGTCCCAGCTCTCTTCAGGTCATTGACCAGGTCCTGCCGTGTAGTTCTGGGCTGATCCCTCACCTTCCTCATGATCATTGATGCCCCACGAGGTGAGATCTTGCATGGAGCCCCAGACCGAGGGTGATTGACCGTCATCTTGAACTTCTTCCATTTTCTAATAATTGTGCCAACAGTTGTTGCCTTCTCACCAAGCTGCTCGCCTATTGTCCTGTAGCCCATCCCAGCCTTGTGCAGGTCTACAATTCTATCCCTGATGTACTTACACAGCTCTCTGGTCTTGGCCATTGTGGAGAGGTTGGAGTCTGTTTGATTGAGTGTGTGGACAGGTGTCTTTTATACAGGTAACGAGTTCAAACAGGTGCAGTTAATACAGGTAATGAGTGGAGAACAGGAGGGCTTCTTAAAGAAAAACTAACAGGTCTGTGAGAGCCGGAATTCTTACTGGTTGGTAGGTGATCAAATACTTATGTCATGCAATAAAATGCAAATTATTTACTTAAAAATCATACAATGTGATTTTCTGGATTTTTGTTTTAGATTCCGTCTCTCACAGTTGAAGTGTACCTATGATAAAAAATTACAGACCTCTACATGCTTTGTAAGTAGGAAAACCTGCAAAATCGGCAGGGTATCAAATACTTGTTCTCCCCACTGTACAAGAAAATAAACTTTTTCCCAAACACACACTGTCTAAACTCTGGTGTCCAAACACCCAGCGTGCCCGAGACCTTATGTCTGAGGACCAACTAGGGTCACCCAGCCACATAATAATACACACAGGCACAAACGACCTGAGAGCACAGCAGGAAAGGGTGGCCAAAGCACTACTTTCCCCAACGCACAAGTGGTTATCTCCACCCTGCTACCATGAAAATACTTCCACCCTGCAACCATACAGCGGGTAAACGCAAGTATTTCCCATGACTGTGCCTAAAAACCAAAAGTTTACCTGGCCCACCACTCCACCCTGGACTTGAACAGCCTTTACGACCAGCTCCACCTATACAAGGCAGCAGTGGCCACCTTCGCCCGGACCCTAAAGAACATCACCCTCAACCGCAGCCCCAACACCTCACACAGGAGCAACAGATCAACAGACACTCTCCCAGACCTGCGGGACTAAAAAATAAATAACGGAAAAGTGGTGCATGCATATGTATTCACCCCCTTTGCTATGAAGCCCCTAAATGCGATCTGGTAAATAAGACCAATTACCTTCAAAAGTCACATAATTAGTTAAATAAAGTCCACCTGTGTGCAATCTAAGTGTCACATGATCTGTCACATGATCTCAGTATATATATATTCACCTGTTCTGAAAGGGCCCAGAGTCTGCAACACCACTAAGCAAGGGGCACCACCAAGCAAGCGGTCATGAACACCAAGGAGCTCTCCAAACAGGTCAGGGACAAAGTTGTGGAGAAGTACAGATCAGGGTTGGGTTATAAAAAAATATCAGAACCTTTGAACATCCCACGGAGCACCATTAAATCCATTATTAAAAAATTGAAAGAATATGGCACCACAACAGACCTGCCAAGAGAGGGCCACCCACCAAAACTCACGGACCAGGCAAGGAGGGCATGAATCAGAGAGGCAACAAAGATAACCCTGAAGGAGCTACAAAGCTCCACAGCGGAGATTGGAGTATCTGTCCATAGGACCACTTTAAGCCGTACACTCCACAGAGCTGGGCTTTACTGAAGAGTGGCCAGAAAAAAAGCCATTGCTTAAAGAAAAAAATAAGCAAACACGTTTGGTGTTCGCCAAAAGGCATGTGGGAGACCCCCAAACATATGGAAGAAGGTACTCTGGTCAGATGAGACTAAAATTGAGCTTTTTGGCCATCAAGGAAAACGCTATGTCTGGCGCAAACCCAACACCTCTCATCACCCCGAGAACACCATGGTGGTGGCAGCATCATGCTGTGGGGATGTTTTTCATCAGGCAGAGACTGGGAAGCTGGTCAGAATTGAAGGAATGATGGATGGCGCTAAATACAGGGAAATTCTTGAGGGAAACCTGTTTCAGTCTTCCAGAGATTTGAGACTGGGATGGAGGTTCACCTTCCAGCAGGACAATGACCCTAAGCATACTGCTAAAGCAACACTCGAGTGGTTTAAGGGGAAACATTTAAATGTCTTGGAATGGCCTAGTCAAAGCCCAGACCTCAATCCAATTGAGAATCTGTGGTATGACTTAAAGATTGCTGTACACCAGCGGAACCCATCCAACTTGAAGGAGCTGGAGCAGTTTTGTCTTGAAGAATGGGCAAAAATCCCAGTGGCTAGATGTGCCAAGCTTATAGAGACATACCTCAAGAGACTTACAGCTGTAATTGCTGCAAAAGGTGGCTCTACAAAGTATTGACTTTGGGGGGGGGGTGAATAGTTATGCACGCTCAAGTTCTGGTTTTTTTGTCTTATTTCTTGTTTGTTTCACAATAAAATATATGTTGCATCTTCAAAGTGGTAGGCATGTTGTGTAAATCAAATGATACAAACCCCCAAAACCACTTCTGGGAAAATTGGAAAACTCTAAACAAATAAAACGGAGATGTATGGATAAACCACTTCTCCAATCTTTTTGGCCCTATAACAAAGAACAAACAGCAAAAGCATATCCATGATCAAATACAAATCTTAGAATAAACTATGAAAGACTACCAGAACCCACTGGATTCTCCAATTACATTGAATGAACTACAGGACAAAATACAAACCCTCCAACCCAAAAAGGCCTGTGGTGTTGATGGATTCCTCAATGAAATTATAAAATATACAGACCACAAATTCCAATTGGCTATACTTAAACTCTTTAACATGATCCTTAGCTCTGGCATCTTCCCCAATATTTGGAACCAAGGACTGATCACCCCAATCCATAAAAGTGGAGACAAATTTGACCCCAATAACTACTGTGGGATATGCGTCAACAGCAACCGTGGGAAAATCCTCTGCATTATCATTAACAGCACACTCGTACATTTCCTCAGTGAAAACAATGTACTGAGCAAATGTTAAATTGTCTTTCTACCAAACTACCGTACGACAGACCACCCTGCACACCCTAATTGACAAACAAACAAACCAAAACAAAGGCAAAGTCTTCTCACGCTCAAAGGCAAAGTCTTCTCAAGCTCAATTTGGCATGAGGGTCTGCTATACAAATTGATGGAAAGTGGTGTTGGGGGAAAAACATATCACATTATAAAATCCATGTACACAAACAACAAGTGTGCGGTAGAAATTGGCAAAAAACACACACATTTCTTTCCACAGGGCCACCCTCTTCAACATATATGTCAACGAATTGGCGAGGGCACTAGAACAGTCTGCAGCACCCGGCCTCACCTTACTAGAATCTGAAGTCAAATGTCTACTGTTTGGTGATGATCTGGTGCTTCTGTCCCCAACTAAGGAGGGCCTACAGCAGCACCTAGATCTTCTGCACAGATTCTGTCAGACCTGGGCCCTGACAGTAAATCTCAGTAAGACAAAAATAATGGTGTTCCAAAAAAGGTCCAGTTGCCAGGACCACAAATACAAATTCCATCTAGACACCGTTGCCCTAGAGCACACAAAAAACTATACATACCTCGGCCTAAACATCAGCCCCACAGGTAACTTCAACAAAGCTGTTAATGATCTGAGAGACAAGGCAAGAAGGGCCTTCTATGCCATCAAAAGGAACATAAAATTCAACATACCAATTAGGATCTGGCTAAAAATACTTGAATCAGTTATAGAACCCATTGCCCTTTATGGTTGTGAGGTCTGGGGTCTGCTCACCAACCAAGAATTCACAAAATGGGACAAACACCAAATTGAGACTCTACATGCCGAATACTGCAAAAAATATCCTCAGTGTACAACGTAAAACACCAAATAATGAATGCAGACCAGAATTAGGCAGATACCCATTAATTATCAAAATCCAGAAAAGAGCCGTTAAATTCTACAACCACCTAAAAGGAAGTGATTCCCAAACCTTCCATAACAAAGCCATCACCTACAGAGAGATGAACCTGGAGACGAGTCCCCTAAGCAAGCTGGTCCTGGGGCTCTGTTCACAAACAGACCCCACAGAGCCCCAGGACAGCTACACAATTAGACCCAACCAAATCATGAGAAAACAAAAAGAGAATTACTTGACACATTGGAAAGAATTTACATTAAAAAAGAGCAAACTAGAATGCTATTTGGCTCTAAAAAGAGAGTACACAGTGGCAGAATACCTGACCACTGTGACTGACCCAAACTTAAGGAAAGCTTTAACTATGTACAGACTCAGTGAGCATTGCTATTGAGAAATGCTGCTGTAGGCAGACCTGGGTCTCAAGAGAAGACAGGCTATGTGCACACTGCCCACAAAATGAGGTGGACACTGAGCTGCACTTCCTAACCTCCTGCCAAATGTATGATCATATTAGAGACACATATTTCCCTCAGATTACACAGATCCACAAAGAATTCAAAAACAAACCCAATTTTGATAAACTCCCATATCTTTTGGGTGAAATACCACAGTGTGCCATCACAGCAGCAAGATTTGTGACCTGTTGCCACAAGAAAAGGGCAACCAGTGAAGAACAAACACCATTGTAAATAAAACCCATATTTATGTTTATTTATTTTCCCTTCTGTACTATAACTATTTGCACATAATATGACATTTGAAATGTCTTTATTCTTTTGGAAATGTTGTGATTGTAATGTTTACTGTACATTTGTATTGTTTATTTCACTTTTGTTTATTATCTACTTCACTTGCTTTGGCAATGTTAACATATGTTTCCCATGCCAATAAAGCCCTTAAATTGAATTGAATTGCGAGAGAGAGACAGAGAGAGAGAAAGAGAGAGGGGGGTGGGGGAGGGGGTCTCTGAGCACAGTATGCCAGTGAGACACAGGGGCCCTGTTCTGTTATGTTCGGTTCTAGTGCTTTGCAAATGCATCCTTCCTTTATTTCTGCAACCAATCTATGGGAACAATAACACAATTGAAGTCATAATATTACATAATTTTTTCAGCTGTCTCTTTTCTACACAGCCTAAGACAGAGTGTGCATCCCAAATGGCACCCCATTACCTATAAGTGCAGCCTATGGGCCCTGGCCAAACGTGGTGCACTATATAGGGATCAGGGTACCAGAGGTTTGGAGAAAGCAGCTGTTGCAGTCAGTGTCTAGGCTATTTTCAGACTGAGTCTTACAGAATCTACAGGGAATGTTTTTCTAGGAATACCTTTTACAGCGGTTGTGTGTCTGCTTATCCAATCGATAACGTTTTAGCTAGTTTTCATGTCTCTCGATGATGACATCAGTGTGTGTTTGTGTGTCCTTTTTGTGTTTTCAGTCCCTCCAGCTACTGACCCATATTTTTCACATGCATGAAAGCGAGTGTCTGCACGCACACATACACACACTAACCCACTTCGCCAATCAGACAAGCCTAAGGTTTATTTTCCCATTCCTTTCACAATCTGTCAATTCTTCTCCTCTCAGCCAAGATAAACTTTTCAGCTGTGCTCGCTTGATTCCCGACAACTACACCCCGCACTGAGACTTGTTCACGTAAAAAATACTCACTTAACTGTGCAGTTTATGGTGTTTTTTTTATATGAAACGCACCCCGTTGCCCTTTCTAGGATTAGATTTTTTACAGGCGTTAACTAGAACTGCTATGACGCACGGTGATCCGGCTAGGACCCCTGGCTCTACAAGGCTACTACTGTTCAAAGCAACGTCCAAGAGACTTTCAAAGTACTTCTTATCAGACATTAGGACACAAAGAAGATGTGGTGTATAGTAGAGCTATTCAGTTAACCCTCTCTGTAAACCATGGCCCCTACTACAGTATTATTCAATCCTAGGTGACCCACAGGGTGAGCAGGCTTTTGTTCCAGACCAGTCGTAAAAACACTTGATTTAACTAAACAAGGGCTTGATGATTAGTTACATCTGATGGTTAAAACCACAGTGTGCCATCACAGCTGCAAGATTTGTGACCTGTTGCCACAAGAAAAGGGCAACCAGTGAAGAACAAACACCATTGTAAATACAACCCATATTTATGTTTATTTATTTTCCCATTTGTACTTTATCTATTTGCACATTGTTACAACACTGTATATATACACATAATATGACATTTGAAATGTCTTTATCCTTTTGGATCTTCTGAGTGTAATGTTTACTGTTAATATTTATTGTTTATTTCACTTTTGTTTACTATCTACTTCACTTGCTTTGGCAATGTTAACATACGTTTCCCATGCCAATAAAGCCCTTAAATTGAAATTGAATTGAATTGAGAGAGGGAGGGGGGGGGGGGGGGTTTAGAGTGACCACTGCTCTTTATCTTAAATCAAACAGAGGGAAAAGGAGGGAGGTGTCTCAGACTTTCTGTTCATTTTTCCTGCAGCCATTCCAATCAGTTGGAGCTCCCCAACAGTGTGTGTGTGTGCGTTTGTCTGTCTGTCTGTGTGTGTGTGTGTGCTTACTGAACCACACACACATGTATCGACTGCTTGTTTACTACCTCAGTGGGAAAGTGTGTGGCACCAACAGACTGTCTATTAGCCAATGCTCACCCAGTTGAAAAGCAGCTCTGCTGTGGCACAAAGTGAATGCTGCTCTCTCATGAAGCGTGTGTGTGTGTGTATATGTGTATGGAGTAAGGCCAGTAGCAGGAATACATTGCTATATTTGGTGTGTGTAAGACCTTGGTTTACTCTACAAGACCTCTCCCTGTTTCATTCTCTCTTTTTTCCAGACGATGACATCCTGCCATCTCTCAGTTAACATGGAATGTTACTGCTCTAGTTGAGAGAATATGAAATAGAATAGAATTTACATGAACACATTGACACATACTCCATTAGAAAAAAAACTATAAAGAAAAGTAACTTCTCAATGGCTGCAACTGTACACACATTGCAACCACAGCAACCAGTCTGCAATGGAAGTGTCTTGGGACAGATCAACCGCAGCGTGTGTGTGGTTGTGTGTGTGTGAGTGAGTGAGTGAGTGAGTGAGTGAGTGAGTGAGTGAGTGAGTGAGTGAGTGAGTGAGTGAGTGAGTGAGTGAGTGAGTGAGAGAGATGGGAATGTTAGTGCGGTGGGCAGCTGTGTCTCGTCATGGCCTATGAATCCTCCATCTTCCTCTGAGGCTGCATTCACCATGTCATTAGGAGAGCCACATCATCCCATTAACACTGCACACATCTGTGGGTTTACATCTGCACCGTACAGTATCAACACAATACAGAGAAACATGCAGGTTCAATGGCTCAGGCTGTGCTAGCATGCTAATAGCTAACACGTACAGTACCAGTCAAAGGTTTGGACACACCTACTGATTCAAAGGTTTTAATTTTTTACTATTTTCTACATTGTAGAATAATAATGAAGACATCAGAACTATGAAATAACACATATGGAATCATGTAGTAACCAAAAAAGTGTTAAACAAATCAAAATATATTTTAGATTTTAGATTCTTCTAGTAGCCACCCTTTGCCTTGATGACAGCATTGCACGCTCTTTGCATTCTCTCAAACAGCTTCACCTGGAATGCTTTTCCAACAGTCTTGAAGGAGTTCCCACATATGCTGAGCACTTGTTGGCTGCTTTTCCTTCACTCTGCAGTCCAACTCTTCCCAAACTATCTCAATTGGGTTGAGGTCGGGTGATTGTGGAGGCCAGGTCATCTGATGCAGCACTCCATCACTCTCCTTCTTGGTCAAATAGCCCTTTCACAGCCTGAAGGTGTGAACTTATCCTCTGCAGCAGAGCTAACTCTGGGTCTTCCTTTCCTGTGGCGGTCCTCATGAGAGCCAGTTTCATCATAGTGATTGAAGGTTTTTGTGACTGCGCTTGAAGAAACTTTCAAAGTTCTTGACATTTTCCGGATTGACTGACCTTCATGTCTTAAAGTAATGATGGACTTTCGTTTCTCTTTGCTTATTTGAGCTGTTCTTGCCATAATATGGACTTTTACCAAATAGGGCTATCTTCTGTATACCCCCCCTATCTTGTCACAACACAACTGACTGGCTCAAACGCATTAAGAAGGAAATAAATTCCACAAATGAACTTTTAACAAGGTACACCTGTTAATTGAAATGCATTCCAGGTGACTACCTCATGACGCTGGTTGAGAGAATGCCAAGAGTGTGCAAAGCTGTCATCAAGGCAAAGGGTGGCTACTTTGAAGAATCTCAAATATATTTTTTGTTTTTATTTTTAGGGGGTAGATCAGCTTTAATATTGCAGATAGATTGTAACTTCCATCAATGTAATTGACTGCATCACTTCCAATCCCCCATATGTTTTTTTTCGAACAAATATATATATATACAGTGAGGGAAAAAAGTATTTGATCCCCTGCTGATTTTGTACGTTTGCCCACTGACAAAGAAATGATCAGTTTATAATTTAAATGTTAGGTTTATTTGAACAGTGAGAGACAGAATAAAAATTAAAAATGTCAAATATGTTATAAATTGATTTGCATTTTAATGAGGGAAATAAGTATTTGACCCCCTCTCAATCAGAAAGATTTCTGGCTCCCAGGTGTCTTTTATACAGGTAACGAGCTGAGATTTTCTGTTGTATTTTTTTTGATTTTTGTTTTGTTTTACCCCATATGGAACTCTGTGTTGTTGTTTTTATCGCACTGCTTTGCTTTATCTTGGCCAGGTCGCAGTTGTAAATGAGAACTTGTTCTCAACTGGTTTACCTGGTTAAATAAAGGTGAAATAAAATAAATAAAATAAAAAAAGATTAGGAGCACACTGTTAAAGGGAGTGCTCCTAATCTCAGTTTGTTACCTGTATAAAAGACACCTGTCCACAGAAGCAATCAATCAATCAGATTCCAAACTCTCCACCATGGCCAAGACCAAAGAGCTCTCCAAGGATGTCAGGGACAAGATTGTAGACCTACACAAGGCTGGAATGGGCTACAAGACCATCGCCAAGCAGCTTGGTGAGAAGGTGACAACAGTTGGTGCGATTATTCGCAAATGGAAGAAACACAAAAGACCTGTCGATCTCCCTCGGCCTGGGGCTCCATGCAAGATCTCCCCTCGTGGAGTTGCAATGATCATGAGAACGGTGAGGAATCAGCCCAGAACTACGCGTGAGGATCTTGTCAATAATCTCAAGGCAGCTGGGACCATAGTCACCAAGAAAACAATTGGTAACACACTACGCCGTGAAGGACTGAAATCCTGCTGCGCCCGCAAGGTCCCCCTGCTCTAGAAAGCACATATACAGGCCCGTCTGAAGTTTGCCAATGAACATCTGAATGATTCAGAGGAGAACTGGGTGAAAGTGTTGTGGTCAGATGAGACCAAAATCGAGCTCTTTGGCATCAACTCAACTCGCCGTGTTTGGAGGAGGAGGAATGCTGCCTATGACCCCAAGAACACCATCCCCACCGTCAAACATGGAGGTGGAAACATTATGCTTTGGGGGGGTTTTTCTGCTAAGGGGACAGGACAACTTCACTGCATCAAAGGGACGATGGATGGCGCCATTTACCGTCAAATCTTGGGTGAGAACCTCCTTCCCTCAGCCAGGGCATTGAAAATGGGATTCCAGCAATGGGATTCCAGCATGACAATGACCCAAAACACACGGCCAAGGCAACAAAGGAGCGGCCCAAGAAGAAGCACATTAAGGTCCTGGAGTGGCCTAGCCAGTCTCCAGACCTTAATCCCATAGAAAATCTGTGGAGGGAGCTGAAGGTTCGAGTTGCCAAACGTCAGGCTCGAAACCTTAATGACTTGGAGAAGATCTGCAAAGAGGAGTGGAACAAAATCCCACCTGAGATGTGTGCAAACCTGGTGGCCAACTACTAGAAACGTCTGACCTCTGTGATTGCCAACAAGGGTTTTGCCACCAAGTACTAAGTCATGTTTTGCAGAGGGGTCAAATACTTATTTCCCTCATTAAAATGCAAATCAATTTATAACATTTTTGACATGCGTTTTTCTGGATTTTTTTGTTGTTATTCTGTCTCTCACTGTTCAAATAAACCTACCATTAAAATTATAGACTGATCATGTCTTTGTCAGTGGGCAAACGTACAAAATCAGCAGGGGATCAAATAGTTTGAGAATTCAGTCCTAGCCACAGTAATTGTAGGCTATCAATATAGCAGTTACTAATGGTCTTGTTACAAAAAATATACATGTGCAACTCTTTAAAACTTGTATTAGTGTCTGAGTGTAGCACAATGCAATTATCTCAAGGTAGAGAAGTCGCATGTACCTACAGATGTAGGATCAGATTCCCCAACCCTTAATCCTAATACCAACCATTAAGATGATAAACAAATGTATTTCCCTGGCCTACTGGTTAGGCTTCTACCCGCTCCAATAGAGCAGCAAAGTTTACAACCACACCAGAAAACCACAACCTCATAAACCAGGCAAAAGGTAGAGGGCGGCAGGTAGCCTAACGGTTAGAGAGTTGGGCCAGTAACCAGCAGGTAGCCTAGCGGTTAGAGAGTTGGGCCAGTAACCAGCAGGTAGCCTAGCGGTTAGAGAGTTGGGCCAGTAACCAGCAGGTAGCCTAACGGTTAGAGAGTTGGGCCAGTAACCAGCAGGTAGCCTAGCGGTTAGAGAGTTGGGCCAGTAACAGCAGGTAGCCTAGCGGTTAGAGAGTTGGGCCAGTAACCAGCAGGTAGCCTAGCGGTTAGAGAGTTGGGCCAGTAACCAGCAGGTAGCCTAACGGTTAGAGAGTTGGGCCAGTAACCAGCAGGTAGCCTAGCGGTTAGAGAGTTGGGCCAGTAACCAGCAGGTAGCCTAACGGTTAGAGAGTTGGGCCAGTAACCAGCAGGTAGCCTAGCGGTTAGAGAGTTGGGCCAGTAACCAGCAGGTAGCCTAAGCGGTTAGAGAGTTGGGCCAGTAACCAGCAGGGTAGCCTAACGGTTAGAGAGTTGGGCCAGTAACCAGCAGGTAGCCTAACGTGTTAGAGAGTTGGGCCAGTAACCAGCAGGTAGCCTAACGGTTAGAGAGTTGGGCCAGTAACCAGCAGGTAGCCTAAACGGTTAGAGAGTGGGCCAGTAACCAGCAGGTAGCCTAGCGGTTTTGAGCGTTGGGCCAGTAACCAGCAGGTAGCCTAGCGGTTAGAGAGTTGGGCCAGTAACCAGCAGGTAGCCTAACGGTTAGAGAGTTGGGCCAGTAACCAGCAGGTAGCCTACGGGTTAGAGAGTTGGGCCAGTAGTAACCAGCAGGTAGCCTAAACGGTTTGATGGAGAGTTGGGCCAGTAACTCACAGGTAGCCTAGCGGTTAGAGAGTTGGGGCCAGTAACCAGCAGGTAGACTAGCGGTTAGTAAGGTTGGGCCAGTAAACAGGCAGGTGAGCTCTAACGGTTAGGAGTTGGGCCAGAGTAACCAGCAGGTTAGCCTAACGGTTAGAGATTGGGCCAGTAACCAGCAGGTAGCCTAACGGTTAGAGAGTTGGGGCCAGTAACCATCAGGTAGCCTAGCGGTTAGAAGAGTGGGCCAGTAACCAGCAGGTAGCCTAGCGGTTAGAGGTTGGGCCAGTAAACCAGCAGGTAGCCTAACGGTTAGGAGTTGGGCCAGTAACCAGCAGGTAGCCTAACGGTAGAGAGTTTGGCCAGTAACCAGCAGGTGCCTAACTGTTAGAGAGTTGGGCATAGTAACCCAGCAGGTTAGCCTAGCGGTTAGAGAGTTGGGCCAGAAACCAGAGGTAGCCTAGCGGTAGAGAGTTGGGCCAGTAACCAGCAGGTAGCCTAGCGGTTAGAGAGTGGGCCAGTAACCAGCAGGTAGCCTAACGGTTAGAGGTTGGGCCAGTAACCAGCAGGTAGCCTAACGGTTAGAGAGTTGGGCCAGTAACCAGAGGTAGCCTAGCGGTTTAGAGCATTGGGCCAGTAATCAGCAGGTGCCTAGCGGTTAGAGAGTTGGGCCAGTAACAGCAGGTAGCTATGGTTAGAGTTGGGCCAGTACAGCAGGTAGCCTAACGGTTAGAGAGTTGGGCCAGTAACCAGCAGGTAGCCTAACGGGTTTTTCCAATCAAATCAAATTTATTGGTCAATGGCCGAATACAACAGGTGCAGACATTACGTGAATGCTTATAAGCTTACCAACGTGATTTTTTAAACAAAAAAAGTAAAAAAAAAATAAAAAAGGTGAGAAAAAAGGCGAGTAAAAAAAGTGACAGTAGGGAGGCTATATATACAGGGGTACCGTTGCAGAGTCAACGGCTAGTTGAGGTGTGAGGTATTGTAACATGGGGTAGATTTAAGTGACTATGCATAAATATTAACAGAGTAGCAGCACGTAAAAAGGATGGGGTGGGGGGGGCCAGTGCAATAGCCGGGTAGCCATGATTAGCTTTTCAGGAGTCTTATGCTTGGGGTAGAAGCTGTTGAGAAGTCTTTGGACCTAGAGTTGGGCACTCACGGTACGGCTTGCGGCGGTAGCAGAGGAGCTCTAGACTAGGGTGGCGGAGTCTTTGACAATTTGAGGGCCTCCTCTGACACCGCCTGGTATAGGGGTCTGGATGGCAGGAAGTTTGCCCCAGTGATGGTAATTGGGCCGTACCACTACCTACTGTAGGGGCCTTGGGCCGGAGGCCAAGCAGTTGCCAAAACAGCGGTGATGCAACAGTCAGATGTCTGATGGTGCAGCGTAGGATTTTTTTGAGCTCTGAGGACCCATGCCAAATCGTTTTAGTCTCCTGAGGGGAATAGGCTTTGTGTGCCATCTCAGAGTGTCTTGGTGGTTGGACCATGATAGTTCGTTGTGATGTGGACACCAAGGAACTTGAAGCTCTCAACCTGTTCCACTAGAGAGTTGAGGGTTAGAGGGTTAGAGAGTTGACTGACCCAACTAGAGGGTTAGAGAGTTGGGCCAGTAACCAGCAGGTAGCCTAGTGGTTAGAGCGTTGGGCCAGTAACCGAAATACCCGAGCCAACAAGGTGAAAAATCTGTCGGTGTGCTCTTGAGCAAGGCACTTAACCCTAATTTGCTCCAGGGACGCTGTACTACTATGGCTGATTTCACTGCACCTATCTGGTGTATGTGACAATAAAACATTTATTTTTTACCACATTGTTTAATACATGGGTGTCAAACTCATTCCACGGAGGGCCTAGTGTCTGCTGTGTTTTTGGTTTTTCCTTTCAATTAAAGACCTAGACAACCAAGACCTAGACAACCAATTAGTGACCTTAATTAATCAATCTAGTACAAGGAAGGAGTGAAAACCCACAGACACTCGGCCCTCCGTGGAATGAGTTTGACACGTGTGGTTTAATGTAACCACAAGACCACAAACATTCATTGCAGCCACATAAATAAGAGACAATGTACAAAGCAGGAATTTGTTCACTAGACTTATACAGGGAAATACAAGACAATATAATTACTTTCATAAGAGGGCTATATGAAGATAATACCATAAAAATTATAGTAAAGTGAAAATATATAATTTATCTTTCAAAGAAAATAATGCACTGTAATAATCTATGTTCCAGGTATAAGATTGAATGTATGTGTGTGGTATGTTTGTGAGTGAGTGTGTGTCTCTGTGTCTGGCCTGACTGAGTGATTTTGACAGCATGTTGCTGTGTGCCCTATTTCCATATTACATTTACATTTACATTTTAGTCATTTAGCAGACGCTCTTATCCAGAGCGACTTACAGTTAGTGAATACATATTTTTTTTTTTTTTATACTGGCCCCCCGTGGGAAACGAACCCACAACCCTGGCGTTGCAAACGCCATGCTCTATCAACTGAGCTACATCCCTGCCGGCCATTCCCTCCCCTACCCTGGACGACGCTGGGCCAATTGTGCGCCGCCCATGAGTCTCCCGGTCGCGGCCGGCTGCGACAGAGCCTGGATTCGAACCAGGATCTCTAGTGGCACAGTTTGCACTGTGATGCAGTGCCTTAGACCACTGCGCCACTCAGGAGTATAAATGCCTCTCACTGCATCTTCATTACACAATAATGCATTTCTCTCCCTCTTTCTCCCTCTCTCTGTTCCACTCTCTAAGATTAGATATTTTAGACATACGCAAAAAGAAACATACGTAAACACAACCACACACACATACAGACTGTATTGGGGATCATCCTGATTGTGACTGGTTGAAATGGCTGCAGGAAACCCTAGTAAAACCCAGTGGTTCTCCTTGTTTTTCTTTCTCACACACACACAGACAGACACACACACACACAGACAGACACACAAAGACAGACAGACAGACACACACAGACACACAGACAAAGACAGACAGACACAGACACACAAAGACAGACAAAGACAGACAGACACACACACACACACAGACAGACACACAAAGACACACAAAGACACACAAAGACAGACAGACACACACAGGCAGGCAGGCAGACAGACAGACAGACAGACAGACAGAAAGGCAGGCAGGCGGACAGACGGACGGACGGACAGACGGGACAGACAGACAGACGGGACAGACAGACAGACAGCCAACAGTGAATTTGCGCTACGTTGTTCACACACACAGCTGCATGTAATTACTCCCCATGAGAAGGTATTTAAAACATGACTCTCTGCCGCCACACAATATATCAGCTCTATCAAAATAGCTCTCCCATAAACGCCTACAAAGCTGGTGTGTGTGTGTGTCGTTAACCTACTAAAGCTTTTGTCACTTTTTCTCCATCTCCCTCTTATCCTCCCTTCCTCCCTCTCTCCCTTTCTCTCTGTCTTCTTTCTCTCTCCTTCTGTCATCTTTCACTTCAGTGACAAACACCTTGTTTTTGGTTGCTCTTTCTCGCTAGTCACTCTCTTTCATCCTACTCCCTACCACATCTCTCATTCTACTGTATCATGTCTCTCCGTCTATCACCAGTTAACTACATCTCTGCTCCAACTCTCTATCTCTCTTCTCGCTCTAGACACCGCTCTCATTGAGGCAAGAACACACACACAAACACACCTCTCTGTCCTTGAACACACACACACAGCAGTTGCTCCACCTGTGCTCGTGTATTGAGCCACTATTATAATGAAAGTACACACAGTACCCATATAGCTGACTGTATCACATCTGATGACATTCCAAACACATCTTCATAGCCTATAGCAGGGCTCTCTACTGGCGGCCCGCGGGACAAATGTTTCGATTTGGTCACCCAAGTTTTCTGATAAAACGTTTATTTATTTTTATTATTGGACATAAATGACTAAAAAAAACATCCTATCAGCTCCAAGTGATTTTAATTTTGTAAAAAGAGAGAAATGCGTGATCGAATACAAATGTAAGCAAAGTTTGAAATGGTTATCTTTTAGTCAAATATTACATCTGTTTGGGCTTGTTGCGGTCAATTTGCAGTCTACAAATTATATGTAATAATGTTTCAGCCCCCCGACCATCTGCTCAAGAAAATAAATCGGCCCGTGGCTGAATCTAGTTGATGACCCCTGGCCTATAGCCTACACATTACATAACACAGTGGGTGGAAGTCTACATAAAATGGTCAGATGAAGGGTCAGCAGTCCCGTGGTGTGACCTGTTCAATGCTGATGACCAACACACACACACAGCCTTTAAGCTGAAAAAAGGGGGAGGAGAGAAGGATGAGGGATAGAGAGAGAGCGAGAGAGAGAGAGACACTGCACAAAATAAGTAGATAGAGACAAACGGTGAATGGCTGACCAACCTACAGTATATTACCAGTGGTCTATACATATGGCAAGCCCAGTGAGGGAGAGAGAGAGAGGCCATAAGTACACAACACACAGTGTAAACACACCATGTAATAATCTACACTAGAGACACACAATCACACGTAAACACATACACAAATACCATGGTGGTGGGGGCATACACTAACACAGCGGGAATAGAATAGAAATCCATAGAGCTACACTCTCACAAACGTTGACATAGTCAGCTGCAAAACACACATTCTCGCTCTCCCTCCCTCCCTCTCAAGGCCTAGCCTGGCTGAGGTTGTGGGTGGGGGATCATAGGAAAACTCTCTCTCTCTGGAAAAGCTGAGGTTGTGTCTGTGAGGGTGGGGGATCATGGGAAAACACTGTCTCTCTCTCTCTCTCTGGAAAGGCCTAGCCTAGCTGAGGTTGTGTCTGTGAGGGTGGAGGATCATGGGAAAACACTGTCTCTCTCTCTCTGGAAAAGCCTGGCTGAGGTTGTGTCTGTGAGGGTGGGGGATCATGGGAAAACACCCAAGCATAGTCCAGCTCCAGCTACTGATCTAAGGTCAGTCTGATATTTCCCCCCTGATGGTTAAGGTTAGGATTGGGGGAGGGGAAGCTCATCCTTATCACAGAGGAAACCCACAGATGTGAATGAGTCCGCGGCTCAAATTATCATTCATATCAGGCATGCATCACTTAGTGGAAAACGACTGCTATTACTGTTATCAAACAGACTTAGACCTGTCTGTCCATCTCCGTCCGTCTGCCTGTCTGTCTGGCTGCCTGTCTATCCGACTTGCGTTCTGTCATTGAACCACTTGCCAGCTCTTTTATAGGGTTAATAGGCCAGCCAGCGCTAATTACCCTAGCGACGGCTAAACGGCTAGCGCTAACATGCTCCCATGGTCATGCGGTTGTATTTTCGCCCAGGATTGCCACAAACAGGCTACCTTTAGCCTCTCTCCTCCGGCTGACGGACAAAGGGCTGTTTGAGTCACTCTCTCAACCCTCTCACCCCTCCTTCTGTCCCCATGCATTCTCCCTCGACAAGACAACACTTTAGCCAGGGGTTGCTCAAATAGTACACCTGTAGGTTACAGGTTAACTCTTTCATCCTCCTCCTCATCCTCTACCTCCTCCCTCCTCCTCTACCACTCCTCATCCTCTACCTCCTCCTCCTCCTCTACCTCCTCCTCTCTACCACCTCCTCCTCTACCTCCTCGTCCTCTACTACCTCCTCCATCCCTACCTCCTCCTCATCCTCTACCTCCTCCTCTACCTCATCCTTTTCTTTCTTCCATTTCAAATCAGCTGCTGACGAAACCTTCTGTCTTTACTTGAAGTGAGGATTTCCCCCTCCCTAATATGTGCATTATGCAGTATGTAGTGTGTGTAGTATGTATAGTATGTAGTATGTAGTATTTGTAGTATGCAGTATGTGGTATGTGTAGTATGTAAAGTATGTAGCACACTACCGTTCAAAAGTTTTGGGTCACTTAGAAATGTCCTTGTTTTCGAAAGAAAAGCAATTTTTTTGTCCATTAAAATAACGTCAAATTGATCAGAAATACAGTGTAGACATTGTTAATGTTGTAAATGGCTATTGTAGCTGGAAACGGCTGATTTTTAATGGAATATCTACATAGGAATACAGAGGCCCATTATCAGCAACCATCAGTCCTGTGTTCCAATGGCACATTGTGTTGGCTAATCCAAGTTTATCATTTTAAAAGGCTAATTGATCATTAGAAAAACCTTTTGCAATTATGTTAGCACAGCTGAAAACTGTTGTGCTGATTAAAGACGCAATACAACTGGCCTTCTTGAGACTAGTTGAGTATCTGGAGCATCAGCAATTATGGGTTCGATTACAGAATCAAAATGGCCAGAAACAAATACGTTTCTTCTGAAACTTGTCAGTCTATTCTTGTTCTGATAAATTAAGGCTATTCCATGCGAGAAATTGCCAAGAAACTGAAGATCTCATACAACGCTGTGTACTACTCCCTTCACAGAACAGCGCAAACTGGCTCTAACCAGAATAGAAAGAGGAGTGGCCAATAAAAATAAAAGATTAAGATGGGCAAAAGAACACAGACACTGGACAGAGGAAGATTGGAAAAAGTGTTATGGACAGACAAATCAAAGTTTGAGGTGTTCGGATCACAAAGAAGAACATTTGTGAGACGCAGACCAAATGAAAATATGCTGGAGGAGTGCTTGATGTCATCTGTCAAGCATGGTGGAGGCAATGTGATGGTCTGGGGGTGCTTTAGTGGTGGTAAAGTGAGAGATTTGTACAGGGTAAAATGGATCTTGAAGAAGGAAGGCTATCACTCCATTTTGCAACGCCATGCCATACCCTGTGGACGGCGCTTGATTGGAGCCAATTTCCTCCTACAACAGGACAATGACCCAAAGCACAGCTCCAAACTATCCAATAACTATTTAGGGAAGAAGCAGTCAGCTGGTATTCTGTCTATAATGGAGTGGCCAGCACAGTCACTGAATCTCAACCCTATTGAGCTGTTGTGGGAGCAGCTTGACCGTATGGTATGTAAGAAGTGCCCATCAAGCCAATCCAACTTGTGGGAGGTGCTTCAGGAAGCATGGGGTGAAATCTCTTCAGATTACCTCAACAAATTGACAACTAGAATGCCAAAGGTCTGCAAGGCTGTAATTGCTGCAAATGGAGGATTCTTTGACGAAAGCAAAGTTTGAAGGACACAATTATTATTTCTATTAAAAATCATTATTTCTAACCTTGTCAATGACTACATTTCCTATGCATTTTGCTATCTTTCCTATTCAAACTAATTTCATGTATGTTTTCATGGAAAACAAGGACATTTCTAAGTGACCCCAAACGGTAGTGTATGTGTAGTATGCAGTATGTGTAGAATACTGCATGTGTAGTATATGTAGTATGTGCAGTATGTGTAGTATGTATAGTATGTGTAGTATGCATAGTATGTGCAGTATGTACAGCATGTAGTATTTGTAATATGTAGTATGTGTAGTATTTGCAGTATTTGCAGTATGTTGTATGCACAGTAAGTTTAGTATGCAGTATGTGTAGTATGTGTAGTATGTGCAGTATGTGTAGTATGTATATAATAATAATAATAATAATATGCCATTTAGCAGACGCTTTTATCCAAAGCGACTTACAGTCATGCGTGCATACATTTTTGTGTTTGGGTGGTCCCGGGGATCGAACCCACTACCTTGGCGTTACAAGCGCCGTGCTCTACCAGCTGAGCTACAGAGGACCACAGTAAGTTTAGTATGCAGTATGTGTAGTATGTGTAGTATGTGCAGTATGTGTAGTATGTATAGTACGTAGAATGTGTAGTGTGTAGTATGTGTAGAATGTGTAGTATGTAGAATGTGTAGTATGTGCAGTATGTAGTATGTGCAGTATGTGTAGTATGTACAATGTGTAGTATGTGTGGTATATGCAGTATGTGTATTATGCAGAATGTGTAGTATGTAGTTTGCAGTAGGTGTCGTATGTAGTAGGTGTAGTATGTGCAGTATGTAGTATGTGAAGTATGTTTTATGTGCAGTATGTTGTATGTGTAGTATGTTTAGTATATATTATGTGCAGTATGTGAAGTATGTGTAGTATGTACAGTCGTGGTCAAAAGTTTTGAGAATTACACAAATTCTAATTTTCACAAAATCTGCTGCCTCAGTTTTGATGATGGCAATTTGCATATACTCCAGAATGTCATGAAGAGTGATCAGATGAATTACAGTGAATTGCAAAGTCCTTCTTTGCCATGAAAATGAACTTCAATCCCCAAAAAACATTTCTACTGCATTTCAGCCCTGCCACAAAATGACCAGCTGCCATCATGTCAGTGATTCTCTCGTTAACACAGGTGAGAGTGTTGACGAGGACAAGGCTAGAGATCACTCTGTCATTCTGATTGAGTTAGAATAACAGACTGGAAGCTTTAAAAGGAGGGTGGTGCTTGAAATCATTGTTCTTCCTCTGTAACTGTCACGGTTTCGGCCGAGGCTGCTCCTTCTCCTTGTTCGGGCAGGCTTCGGCGGTCGTCGTCCCCGGAGTACTAGCTGCCACCGTTCGTTGTTTCTGTGTGTGTTTGGTTTGGTCTGATTTGTTACACCTGTTGCTCATTTCGTCTTGATTATGTGTCCTTTAAGTTCTCGTTGTTTCTGTCTTGTGGTTGTGTGTAGTTGTTCTATGTCAGCAGGTGTTGCCAGTCAGTTTGTGCTCTGTTATTAGAGAGTCTGCACGTTGTGCATATGTTGTACTTTTACGCTGAGTGCGTTTATTTTTTCCTTGTTCAACCGGCTCTGTTTGTAGCCGTTATTTCTGTGGACTTTATTAAAGTGTTTTTGGACTTGCATCTGCATCCTGCAATTGATTCCACACCACACCTACGCCCGTCCTTGACAGAACTACACACCATTCATGGAATCAGCAGGAGCAGCAGCAGCGACCGAGTCATGGGAGGAGCGCGTCCGCGGACAGGTTGACAGGATAGCCCAGATCACCAACACATTACAAGGAGTAATGAATACCCTGCATCGCCTGGAGACCAGTTGGGCACCCACGCCTCCTCCCACAGTACCACCAGCACCGGTCAGTCCCTTAGTCCACGCTCCGGAACCCAGTGGGATTCGGCTCTCGCTCCCGAGGGCGTATGATGGTACCGCTGCCAGGTGTCAAGGTTTCCTCCTACAAGTAGAACTCTACCTCGCCACCGTACACCCGGTGCCCTCGGGACACGAGAGCGTTTCCGCCCTCATCTCCTGTCTCACCGGCAAGGCGTTGGAGTGGGCCAACGCCGAATGGAGGAGAATAGACCCCGCAACGATCACCTATGCGGAGTTCTCCCGTCGCTTCAGGGCTGTATTCGACCATCCACCTGAGGGGAAGGCGGCGGGAGAACGTCTATTCTACCTCCGACAGGGGAAGAGGAGCGCACAGGATTTTACACTGGAGTTCCGGACTCTAGCGGCAGACGCAGGGTGGAATGAGCGGGCCCTCATAGACCACTTCCGCTGCAGCCTACGGGAGGACGTCCGTCGTAAGTTGGCCTGCAGGGACACCACCATCACGTTTGACCAGTTAGTTGACATGGCCATTCGCCTCGACACCCTGTTGGCCACACGCGGATGTCCTGAGTGGGGGTCGTCCATTCCACCCTCCAGCACCTCCGAGCCTAGTCCTATGGAGCTCGGGGGTGCTGGCGCTAGAGAGGAGAGGAGAAGGAGCCCCAGGGGAACCAACCCCTGTACCTACTGTGGCCGTGGAGGACACACTGCGGCCAGGTGCTGGGGGGGGTCTCCTAGGGGAGAGACGGCAGGCCACGCTCTGGGGAGTCCTTCCAGGTGAGTAGGCGCCCCACTTACCCAGAGCTCTCTGTTGATCACCTAACCATACCTGTTTGCTTCCCACAGGTTGCACCTCATTCCCAGCATAAGGCGCTAGTAGATTCAGGCGCAGCTGGGAATTTTATAGATCGGCGATTTTGTGCTGAGTTAGGGATTCCCCTCCTTCCAGTCAGTAGTCCCTTCCCTGTACATGCTTTAGATAGCCGTCCGTTGGGATCGGGGTTGATTAGGGAGGTCACAGCTCCACTTAGGATGGGGACGCAGGAGGGTCATGAGGAGACTATTCAGCTATATCTTATAGACTCTCCTGCGTATCCGGTGGTGCTGGGGCTTCCCTGGTTGATTACTCATAATCCCTCTATTTCGTGGCAACAGAGGGCTCTCAAGGAGTGGTCTGTCCAGTGTGTAGGGCGATGTCTGGGCGTTTCCGTAGGGGCGACCTCGGTGGAATGTCCAAACCAACTGCCGGCATTCCACATTCCCCCCGAGTATGATGATTTAGCAATTGTGTTTAGTAAAGTGAAGGCGACGCAATTGCCACCACATAGACAGGGGGATTGTGCGATAGACCTCCAGGTAGGAGCTGCGCTTCCGCGGAGCCATGTGTATCCTCTGTCTCAAGAGGAGAAGAGAGCTATGGAGACTTACATAGCCGAGTCTCTGAGACAGGGATACATACGGCCCTCCACTTCCCCTGCGTCCTCGAGTTTCTTTTTTGTGAAGAAAAAGGATGGAAGGTTTGCGCCCGTGTATTGATTACCGCAGTCTCAATCAGATTACTGTGAAATACAGTTATCCACTCCCTCTGATTGCGACTATGACGGAGTCTTTACACGGGGCGCGTTTCTTCACAAAATTGGATCTCAGGAGCGCATACAACTTGGTGCGTATTAGGGAGGGAGACGAATGGAAGACAGCATTTAGTACCACCTCGGGTCATTACGAGTATCTCGTCATGCCATACGGGTTAATGAATGCTCCTTCAGTCTTCCAATCCTTCGTTGATGAGATCTTCCGGGATATGCAGGGGCAGGGAGTGGTCGTGTACATTGACGACATTCTAGTGTATTCTTCTACCCGAGCCGAGCATGTAGCCCTGGTGCGCCGAGTATTGAGGAGATTGTTGGAGCATGATCTGTATGTCAAGGCAGAGAAATGTCTGTTTTTCCAGGAGTCTGTCTCCTTTTTGGGTTATCAGTTGTCTGCGTCAGGGGTTAAGATGGAGGTTGACCGTGTGTCGGCCGTGCATAATTGGCAAACTCCAACTACTGTTAAAGAGGTGCAGCGGTTCTTGGGTTTTGCGAATTACTACAGGAGGTTTATCCGGGGCTTTGGACAGGTGGCAGCTCCCATAACGTCTCTACTAAAGGGAGGTCCGGTGCGCTTGCAGTGGTCTGCTGAGGCGGATAGGGCTTTTGGGAGACTGAAGGACCTGTTTACCTCGGCGCCGGTGTTGGCGCATCCGGATCCCGCACTCCCATTCCAGGTCGAGGTAGACGCGTCTGAAGCCGGTATAGGGGCCGTGCTCTAGCAACGATCTGGCACGCCCCTGAAACTCCGCCCCTGTGCTTTTTACTCTAAAAAGCTCAGTCCGGCGGAGCGAAATTATGACGTGGGGGACAGGGAGCTGCTAGCCGTGGTCCAGGCCCTAAAGGTGTGGAGGCATTGGCTAGAGGGGGCTCAACACCCTTTCCTCATTTTGACAGACTACCGAAACCTGGAGTACATCCGGGCAGCTAGGAGACTGAACCCTCGCCAGGCTAGGTGGAATATGTTTCTGGCCCGGTTCGTTTTTAAGATCACGTACATCCCTGGGTCCCAGAATGGTAAGGCAGATGCTCTGTCCCGGCGGTATGACACGGAGGAGAGGTCCGTTGAGCCCACGCCCATACTCCCGCCGTCTTGCCTGGTGGCACCGGTGGTGTGGGAGGTCGATTCCGAAATCTAGCGGGCGTTGCGTACCGATCCTAGCCCTCCACAGTGTCCTGTGGGTCGGACGTACGTGCCGTTCGAGGTTCGGGATCGACTTATATATTGGGCTCACACGTCACCCTCCTCTGGACATCCAGGGATTGGCCGGACGGTGCACTGCCTTAGCACTAAGTACTGGTGGCCAACGTTAGCCAGGGATGTGAGGGTTTATGTTTCCTCCTGTTCGGTATGTGCCCAGTGTAAGGCACCCAGACATTTGCCCAGGGGTAAGTTACAACCCCTGCCCGTTCCACAACGACCCTGGTCTCACCTCTCGGTGGATTTCGTTACTGATCTTCCCCTCTCCCAGGGAAATACCACCATCCTGGTCGTTGTGGATCGGTTCTCGAAGGCCTGTCGTCTCCTTCCCATGCCGGGTCTTCCCACTGCCCTACAGACCCCTGAGGCACTATTCACTCACGTCTTCCGGCATTACGGGGTACCCGAGGATATAGTGTCTGATCGAGGCCCCCAGTTTACCTCTCGAGTCTGGAGAGCGTTCATGGAGCGCTTGGGGGTCTCGGTGAGCCTTACCTCGGGGTACCACCCGGAGAGCAATGGGCAGGTTGAACGAGTAAACCAGGATGTGGGTAGGTTTCTGAGGTCGTATTGCCAGGGCCGGCCGGAGGAGTGGGCGAGGTATGTTCCCTGGGCCGAGATGGCCCAGAACTCCCTTCGCCACTCTTCCACCAGACTCACTCCTTTCCAATGTGTATTAGGTTACCAGCCGGCTCTGGCACCTTGGCATCAGAGCCAGATCGAGGCCCCTGCGGTGGATGAGTGGGTGCGGCGCTCGGAGGAGACGTGGAACGCTGCTCACGTACATCTGCAGCGGGCCATCCGTCAACACAAGGCGAGCGCCGATCTCCACCGCAGTGAGGGACCGGTGTACGCACCGGGAGATTGAGTCTGGCTCTCGACCATAAACCTGCCCCTCCGCCTGCCCTGCCGGAAGCTGGGTCGGCGGTTTGTGGGGTCTTTTAAAGTCCTGAGGAGGTTGAACGAGGTGTGTTACAGATTACAACTTCCTATTGAGTATAAGAATATTAATCCCTCGTTCCATGTGTCTCTCCTCAGGCCGGTGGTAGCTGGTCCACTCCAGGAGTGTGAGATAGCAGACTCCTCCGCTCCCGCTGGACATCGAGGGGGCTCCGGCGTACACAGTTCGGTCCATCCTGGATTCGAGACGCCGGATGGGGGGTCTCCAATATCTTGTGGAGTGGGAGGGGTACGGTCCGGAGGAGCGGTGCTGGGTGCCGAGGAGAGATATCTTAGACCCGTCTCTTCTGACTGAGTTCCATCGTGGTCATCCCACGCGCCCTGCTCCGCGTCCTCCTGGTCGTCCCCGAGGCCGGGGTCGGCGCACGGCTGGAGCCGCGCGTCAAGGGGGGGGTACTGTCACGGTTTCGGCCGAGGCTGCTCCTTCTCCTTGTTCGGGCAGGCTTCGGCGGTCGTCATCCCCGGAGTACTAGCTGCCACCGTTCGTTGTTTCTGTGTGTGTTTGGTTTGGTCTGATTTGTTACACCTGTTGCTCATTTCGTCTTGATTATGTGTCCTTTAAGTTCTCGTTGTTTCTGTCTTGTGGTTGTGTGTAGTTGTTCTATGTCAGCAGGTGTTGCCAGTCAGTTTGTGCTCTATGTTATTAGAGAGTCCGCACGTTGTGCGTATGTTGTACTTTTACGCTGAGTGCGTTATTTCTGTGGACTTTATTAAAGTGTTTTTGGACTTGCATCTGCATCCTGCAATTGATTCCACACCACACCTACGCCCGTCCTTGACAGTAACCATGGTTACCTGCAAGGAAACACGTGCCGTCATCATTGCTTTGCACAAAAAGGGCTTCACAGGCAAGGATATTGCTGCTAGTAAGATTGCACCTAAATCAACCATTTATCGGATCATCAAGAACTTAAAGGAGAGAGGTTCCATTGTTGTGAAGAAGGCTTCAGGGCGCCCAAGAAAGTCCAGCAAGCGCCAGGACCGTCTCCTAAAGTTGATTCAGCTGCGGGATCGGGGCACCACCAGTGCAGAGCTTGCTCAGGAATGGCACCAGGCAGGTGTGAGTGCATCTGCACGCACAGTGAGGCGAATACTTTTGGAGGATGGCCTCGTGTCAAGAAGGGCAGCAAAGAAGCTACTTCTCTCCAGGAAAAACATCAGGGACAGACTGATATTCTGCAAAAGGTACAGGGATTGGACTGCTGAGGACTGGGGTAAAGTCATTTTCTCTGATGAATCCCCTTTCCGATTGTTTGGGGCATCCGGAAAACACCTTCTCCGGAGAAGACAAGGTGAGCGCTACCATCAGTCCTGTGTCATGCCAACATTAAAGCATCCTGAGATCATTAATGTGTGGGGTTGCTTCTCAGCCAAGGGAGTGGGCTCACTCACAATTTTGCCTAAGAAAACAGCCATGAATAAAGAATGGTACCAACACATCCTCAGAGAGCAACTTCTCCCAACCATCCAAGAACAGTTTGGTGACGAACAATGCCTTTTCCAGCATGATGGTGCACCTTGCCATAAGGCAAAAGTGATAACTAAGTGGCTCTGGGAACAAAACATTGACATTTTGGGTCCATGGCCAGGAAACTCCCCAGACCTTAATCCCATTGAGAACTTGTGGTCGATCCTCAAGAGGCGGGTGGACAAACAAAAACCCACAAATTCTGACAAACTCCAAGCATTGATTATGCAAGAATGGGCTGCCATCAGTCAGGATGTGGTCCAGAAGTTAATTGCCAGCATGCCAGGGCGGATTGCAGAGGTCTTGAAAAAGAAGGGTCAACACTGCAAATATTGACTCTTTGCATAAACTTAATGTAATTCTCAATAAAAGCCTTTGACACTTATGGAATGCTTGTAATTATACTTCAGTATACCATAGTAACATCTGACAAAAATATCTCATAACACTGAAGCAGCAAACTTTGTGAAGACCAATACTTGTGTCATTCTCAAAACTTTTGACCACGACTGTATAGTATTTGTAGTATGTAGAATGTGTAGTACGTGTAGTATGTATAGTATGTGCAGTATGTAGTGTGTAGTATGTGCAGAATGTATAATATGTAGTATGTGTATTATGTGTAGTATGTAGTATGTGTATTATGTGTAGTATGTGTAGTATGTAATATGCATAGTATGTAGTATGTGTAGTATGTATGCCAAGAATGTCCCACAATGATATGTAATCCTATATGCAATATTCTTTGAGGGGGAATATATGGGAGGATGTATTCTATCACCAGTGGGAGTTCATGCCTTGGTTCATGTGGTTAGAAGCCGCAGGGGGTGCATGTTTTCATTCCAGACCAGCACTAACACGCCTGATAGATCTAATCGACTGTTCAACAAGCCCTTGGTTAGATTAGTCAGCTGTGTCAGCGCTGGGATGGAGCAAAAAGCCTGTACCACCTGAAGCTCTCCAGGACCAGGAATGAATGCCGAGGTTATAGACAGACAAACTAGACGAGCAATAGAGTTAAGATGGATCCCTCCCCTGGTTATAGACAGACAAACTAGACGAGCAATAGAGTTAAGATGGATCCCTCCCCTGGTTATAGACAGACAAACTAGACGACCAATAGAGTTAAGATGGATCCCTCCCCTGGTTATAGACAGACAAACTAGACGAGCAATAGAGTTAAGATGGATCCCTCCCCTGGTTATAGACAGACAAACTAGACGACCAATAGAGTTAAGATGGATCCCTCCCCTGGTTATAGACTGATAGCAGATCCAGAACCACAGACTGATAGCTCTGAGAGGGGACTGATAGCAGATCGAGAACCACAGACTGATAGCTCTGAGAGGGGACTGATAGCAGATCGAGAACCATAGACTGATAGCTCTGAGAGGGGACTGATAGCTAAACCAGGTGTGGCTACAGTATGTATCGGTTTACATATTACTATAGATCTATGGGAGTATAGAATCTGCTAACATGGCTTACACACTTCCTGCATTTCAGTGTGTGTGTGTGTGTGTGTGTGTGTGTGTGTGTGTGTCCATGCATCTATGAAACTGCCTCAAGTATTTCAATCTGGCACCCATGTTCGTTCCTGTCCCCTCCTCTACCTGTCCCCCCTTTCATCTCTCATCCCTCTCTCCTCTCCATGCTCACTCTGCCGTGAAATTCTGCTCGCTCAACTTGGTGGCAATCAATCGCCCGTCGAGTAGGCAAACATTTACCGATCCTGCAATCAGGCCAGAGAACACATTTGTAATTTAATTGAGACTGCGGCGGGCGGGCAGGCAGGCACGGTGTCTGTGATATTTGGAGGGCCTCAGCGTTTTGTTGCCCTCCCTCATTCTTGTTGACAGGGTTAGCTATTATCACAACCATACAGACACATGAGGAATGGCTCGCAGAGAGGAGTAGATAGAGAGAGAGAGAGAAAGAGGAGTAGAGAGAGAGAGAGAGAGAGAGAGCGAGAGAGAGAGAGAGAGAGAGAGAGAGAGCGAGAGAGAGAGCGAGAGAGAGAGAGAGAGAGAAAGAAAGAAAGATTGTGAGAAACAGAGAGGATATTGGAATGTTACCATTGTCCCAAAACACTCGACTTGACTAACACAATAGCAGGATTGATAAGCCTGTATTACTTTCACCCTTTCTCAACCAGCATTTATTTATTCCACAATCATACTTCCAATGCTTCCAGTGGTTTCAAGTCATTAGTAAATGCTAATTATTTCATCGCCATAATTGTTTAATCCGTATGCCTAAATTGCCTGTTTAAGTCTACAGCAAAGTAAAATATGGCCAGTGTAGAGAATTATTTTTCATCTGGTGTAATGAAAGTGTGTTAGCTTGCTAATACTATTATACCCAGTAGACTGACAATTACTCTGAGTTCAAGAAGTACTGTAGAGGAAGAAAATAACTGAGAGAGAGGGGGGGGGGGGGGGGGTGCATGTATGCGTGTGTGTGAGTGAGGGAGTGCATAAAAAAAACTCCAGTTTCATCTTCACTATCACTATTTCTTTCCCTTTTAGTCTATTCCCAGCATTGTGGCTATGACCAGCACCCAGTAGCACCCCTGACTCATATAATAATGCAATGGTCCTGGGCAACTGGCGGAAGAAAGTTCTCCATTATGGATCAATACAAGACAGGGCTGTTGAGAAGACACTCCCACCTCGCCATCACCAGAGGGGCCCAGAGGGGATAGTGGGTATTCTCCTTGTTCTGTAGATCGGCTTACTGTGAGTCAGAGTGGGTTCCCTGAGTCATAAAGACACAGATACTCCCCTGTGCACACACACACACACATTCGCTGACATAATATGTAGCATAAACAGATATTCACACACACACTCAGTATACAACCTGATACAGGACAAGTGTAGCCTATAAAAGACCAACCACAGTCAGACCATGAACACTCACACAAAGTCTCTATGGCCACACATACACACACAGTCTCACAGGTACGTAAACACACACACACACACACATACAGCCATACCCTGTGATACAGATAAACTAACATGCACACACTGCATGGTAAAATATGCAAACTCACTGCCCCAGGCAGTACTAGTGACATCACTGACTCTGCATCGGCCAATTAGCTTTTCATTAAGAGGTTACGACCTTTGGCTCGCTCTCAGAGGTATGCTTCTTAAATACGCAGACGCAGACACACCCACACCGTGCCTGCACTCCAGCACAATGCTTTTGAGATATTGATGATTCAATAATTGTTAATAGCTTTTAACATTCCAGCATTTATTACCTCAAAGGGGCCACCAACACACACACACACAGAACTCAAAGCACTTTGAATTCAACTGATGGTTAAATTACTGGCTGCTTACCGTAAAACAACTCAGCTCTCCGGCCAATGTCCATAATTAATCAGTTCTATAGCGCTGACGTCATAAAAATACCAAGAACTCAACCTGCAGGATATTCACATATTTCATGGGAGGGAGAGAGATCGATACTGTGTGTACTGTCCACTCAATAGGACAACACTATTAAAAATACATAGTTTCAATGGTTAGTATGACCTATACACTGATATGTTTCAGCATCCAGCCTTCCCATTCATATTGTATAATAGCCAGCTCTCAGTTTCAAATAGATCTTCTCTTCTAATGGTATCCCTGGCCTTTATTTTGAAGAGATAAAAACGTTTTACACATAGAATCTTTGTTACTCACTTTGTTACTGGTAAACCCACCAGGGTGCACTTTTTGTTCCAGCCCAGCACTAAAACACATGACATCGACTAATCTAGGACTTGTGTGGTTGATTAGTTGGAGAAAAATAGGTGAACCCCTTGGGAGTCAATCAGGAGTTTATTGAGAAACACTGCTTTCGAGAATCAACAACTGTTGGAGTGAAAAGTGAGTGTTGATTAGAATTCAAGAGAGAAGCATGGCACAGAGTAGTGTATGCCCCATTCTACTTTATCCCTACGCCAATGGGCAGAGATAGAAACAGGAAGAGTGAAGCCTGGTGCTAACCCTCTCCAGCCTCATATTCAGCACCCCGCTGGCAGCGCCTGATGGTGAAGTGGCAGCAGTCGCCCCTGTGTCTCTCTCGCCCGCCACAGGAAGTGACATCGTCAGTAGAGCGTTGGGGTCGGGGGCGGCTGCTGCCACCATGCAGAGAGAGTGGCATTCTGACAGGCGGGGTGAGGGAACGTGTCAACAACACCGGGGTAAAGGTAGTCCATCATCCCAGAGACAGAGAGAGAGAGGGGATGGGAGAGAGAGAGAGAAAAGGGGGGAGAGAGAGAGAAAAAGGGGGGGAGAGAAAGAAGGGGGGGTAGCAGACTGAAAGTAGAACAAAGGGTGAAGAAACGTGTGCCTGCCTGCCTGCCCTGCCTGCCTGCCTGCCCTCCCGCCCGCCTGCCTGCCTGCCCGCCCGCCCGCCTGCCTGCCTGCCTGCCTGAGTTGCTTACACCGTCATTTAAAATGGTTCCT